CAGCTGGATTATTTTTGAAATTTGACCTGTTTAGCATTTTATAGATGGTTACGATAAGCTGCAGTTGATCGCCTAACTACACATTAAAATTTGGTTTTAGAAAACGGCAGTATTAACAAGGAAGCAACAACCAAATGATGTACTCAATGCTTAGAAATTTTTCCTTACCTTGGTGAGTTTTTCCTGACAAGAAACCACGGCATTTTTTGCAAAACACAGAGCAAAAGCACTGAGCCATGTCGCACGTGACAGTAACGTAACGTAGCGTTAGCCGGGAAGTACATGTAGTGGGCGCAGTTGTGGGGGCTGGGGAGCAATGGACAGGCTGGCGAATGCATTTTTACGATGTGTCTTTTACAAGAACTTTGAAACTGTCTGTGCATGTAAAGATTTTTGTATATACTTGATTGGATCAAGCAAGTATATTACTACAGAAGCGCGACGTTTGTACTCGCGTTGGCCGAACTAAACACCTGGTCATTTTGCTAGTAATCTCTAGAACAAGCCGAACATGAGGTTAAAATTTTCCTCTGTTTACTTCTTTTCAGCTTCATTGAACCATGTTTTCTTCTTTGGTGTTTTTCTAACGCACTGCCAGCCACTCTTCACCTGCCCAGGATAAGGAGAGGGCAGGAGGAATGCGAGAGAAGTTTCATAGGGGGAGGCTCTTAGCCTCCCAAACAACTTCTAAATGCTTACCCTTTGATTCGCTATTTGTTCTTTTGACTGACAGGATAACTCTTTCATATAACATCCATGAAAGGTGTTGTCCCTTAACATACCTAAAGTCGTCAGTCAGACGGCATCCTTTTTTCAGAAACTTGCTACACCTTTTTCGGGTGGAGCCTCCCAGTGTATCACAGGGAGTTCTTTTCTGAAAGCTGGGACCGGGGTGGGTTAAATTGATCTTTTCCATCGCATCACAACGTCTTTACCATAAACGGAATTTTCACATTTATTTCCCCTGACTTGTTCTTGGCCTTCCAGTTGCTCAAAATTGGACGATGTCACCCTAAATGAGCCAATCGATTTTGTGCCTACATCTTGTGTAAAGCTCGTGCGCACACTCGCCTATATTATCATCTGGATCATTATCCGAGCGATCTTAATTAAATCATCGAGTTCAACAAACGCAGCGAAACATGACAATGTACTTTTTTGATCCAGTCCAGGATATAACAGATCTTGAGTTATACAAACCGTTTTTAAGCTGCTTGTTTAATACACATCCTAAAAATGGGGCGCTTTCCATTTTGCCAAAGATTCCGGAAATCAGTTTCGGTCGAAAGGCCCGTTTCGGTTTCTTATGACTGGAATATTGGGGGTCACCTCCGGAGGTGTTCCACTTATTTAATTTCGGTCGGAATATTCCGAAATTCGTCGCGCAAACCGATTCTTTACCCTAATTAGGGACAGTGTATCTAATTGTGAAGGGTCGAGAGTCGAGGATACAATGTCGTTCCATTTTCGTCGGGTATTGCCACTGATCTGTGACCGGTCAGTTTGGCATATTGTAAAGCACCCATGCACTAGCCAGTCAAAATGTGTGTAGTATCGTACATTAGGACTGGGCTCTAGGTCCACTGCATGCTGGGGCCATGCAGGCCCGGTTACCAGGTTGTTGTAGTTCGTAAGCCAGCATGGCAGCTGTAATCCATTAAATTGGCGACGAGGATCAAACAAAAATGCCAGACGAAAACGAAACTAGCCCGAAAGGAAAGTCAGGAGTTCTTGCCAGCGTACGAGCAAGCGTGGGAGCCTTGAGTTTGAGTGGTGAACCAGGGCAACGCGAGAAGGCGTGGAAGTTGTGGAAGGATCGTTTCGTAAGAGCCACTCGATGGATGGCAATCAATGATGCCGACAAGCTCGACTTACCGTTATTAGTAGGAGGAGAAGAGCTCCAGAGGCTACTCCAAACACTGCCCGAACAGCCCACAGATTACAAATCGCATATCGAAATGTTGGATCAACACTTCAAGGCGAATCGCAACAACACCTTGGAGTTGTATAAGTGGTTCAACACAGAATGGTCACCAGACATGTACTTCGCTGACTTCGAGACGAAATGCAGAGAGCAAGCGCTTCATTGCGATTTCCCCATCACACTGGACAACGCAATCATCATGATGACTGTGGTCAAAACCAGCAACGTCGAGCTTCGGAATGAAATCATTAGAAATAATGGAGACTTGAAATCGGTAAGAGAAACAGTTAAGGCTTTTGAGATAGCAAGTGAAGGCAGTAAAATGATGAAAAACGGGGAGGAAGTCAACAGTCAAGACACAGGTGATCCAGAGTTGAAACAAGTTTCCACACCAGGACGGTTTAGCATGAGAAATAAAGGACCGAGTCGTACCGCTGACCCCTTGCAGGCACAGGCCAGGCCGTCTTGCACTAAGTGCGGGAATGAGGCACATGTCAACAAGAATACCTGCCCAGCTACTGGAAGGAGATGCCTCAAGTGTGGACGTCTGAATCACTTTGCCCGCGTGTGCAAGGGTGCAGCCAATGACAGGAAAGACAAGCGAGCCAATGCAGTGGAGTGTGAGCAGCAAAGCAACGCACACAGTGTGTCTCAAGAGGAGAACTTTTTAGAAGACGTGTATCTGTACCAGCTAAAGGAAGGAAAATCACAGAATCCAACTGTCGCAGTTCACATCAATGGCATTCTCATCAGTCTACACCTGGACACGCAGGCTGATGTCACAGTAGTTACTGAAAAGCATTATGGGAAGATTAAGGCCAATTGTCCCCTACAGCAAACAAGCATAGCAATCAGGAGCTACTCCGGAGAAGGGAAGGGCCCGCTGCTACCGGTGCTAGGGAAATTCACTGCAACACTCACTCGAGGAGAGAAGGAGATAGCAGAGCCTGTGTATGTAGTTAAAGGTCAAGGTGACACAGCACTGCTAAGCCGTGGGGCAGCTGAACGGATGGGTCTTGTGGAATATCACCTGGACCTGACCTCAAGCACACCCCTGCCAGTCATGGGAGAAACTCGACAAGAGACTGTTGACCGAGTTGAGGAGTACAGGGATGTATTTTCAGGTTTAGGAAAGCTGAGAGGCGTCAAGGTGAAATTGCACGTGGATCCAGACGCAAAAGGCGCCGTGCAGAAACAGAGAAGAATATCCCTACCGCTCAAAGACAAATTTGATGAGATTCTTGACAAGTGGGAGGAAATGGATATCATAGAAGATGTCAGAGATGAGCCAAAAGAATGGTGCAGCAATGTTGTTCTTACCCCAAAGAAAGACGGAGAAAACATCAGGGCAAGTCTGGACATGACAGATGCCAACAAGTATATAAAGAGAACCAGACATGCCATCCCCACATTAAGAGAGCTGGAGACAAGACTTAATGGGGCCAAGTATTTCTCTCACCTAGACATGAACGATGGTTACATGAAGCTGACACTCGGCGAGGAAAGCAGGAAGCTTACCACATTTTACACTCACAGAGGGCTGAAACGCTTCAAAAGGCTGCATTTCGGGGTCAACAGCGCGGCAGAGATCTTTAATGAGGAGGTTCGCAAGGTTGTAGCACAGGAGCCAAATGCTGTCAGCATCTATGATGACATACTGGTCTTCGGCGCAACGCCCGAGGAACATGACAAAGCACTCAGGCATATATTCAAGCTGTGGCGCGAGCACGGGCTCACACTTAGCCTGAAGAAGAGCAGGCTCAACCTCCGAGCTGTGAAGTTCTTTGGAAAGGTGTTCTCAAGTGAAGGAATATCACCTGACCCAGATAAGGTAGCATCCCTGAAGGCAGCAGGTCCTCCGCAGTCAGCCGCAGAGGTACGGTCCTTTCTATTCTTCGCTGGAGCAAAATGCAGACTTCATGGAAGGATTTGCACAAGCCACTGCCACGCTCAGAGAGCTGCTAAAGGTGAATGCTAAGTTCCAGTGGACGCCAGAGTGCCAAAGGTCATTTGAGCGGGTCCAAGAAATGCTGACGGATGACACAGTAATGGCATACTTTGATCCAGGACGGAAGACAAGGCTGAAGACCGATGCAGGCCCAGGTGGAATGGCAGCCACCATGAAGCAGTATGACCCTGAAGTCAAGAGATGGCGACCAGTCACTTATCGTTCAAGAGTATTCACTGACACCCAGAGCAGATACTCGCAGCTAGAGAAGGAAGCCAAAGCTGTAGAGTGGGGTATCTTTGCCAATCAGATATACCTTTACGGCATGGGAACACGTTTGAGGTTGACACCGACCACAAACCACTGGTACCACTGCTCTCAGGTTACAGAGCAACTGCACCACTCCGTATAGAGAGGATACGCGTCCGCCTTCAAGGCTTTAACTACCACATCAATTACGTACCCAGAAAGAAAGGGGGATCGGAGAACAATGAAGCAGACTACCATTCACGGCATCCAGAGCCACTGGCTATGCAAAAGAGCCAGGCCTGTAAGAGCCAAGCTGAATTTGAGCTAAGAGAGACAGTGGAAGAGTTCGAGAAAGATATCATGGCTATAGTGAAATCATCAGTGCCTGAAGCAGTTACATGGCAGGAGCTGCTTGAAGAAACACTCTCGGACACTGAACTGTCAAACTTGAAGGAAGCCATAGCTAGAGGATACTTCACGGCGCAAGAGAAGAGAGCATTGGGGCCACAATATGACGCCATTTTCACAGAGTTGGCTTCCACGAATCGTAGTCCCCAGAATGCTGCGGGATAAGGTGGTCAAGCTCGCGCACGAAGGCCACCAGGGTATCACCAAGACTAAGGAGTACCTGCGTACCAGAGTGTGGTTTCCAGGGTTAGACAAAATGGTGGAGGCGCACATCCAGCACTGCCACCCATGCCAAGTCGTGAGCATGTCACAGGAGAGAGAGCCGTTGCGTATGACACCCTTGCCCAGCGAACCCTGGAAAGAGGTTGTCGTAGACTTCTGGGGCCCGATCCATACTGGAGAGTATCTGTTGGTTACAGTGTGCAAGCAGTCTAGATGGGCAGAAGTAGAATTTGTCACCTCCACTAGTGCCAGGGCGGTGATACCGAAGATGGATAAAACCTTCGCCTCGCTGGGCATACCAGTTTCTGTAAGCAGTGACAATGGACCTCCGTTCAACAGCCAGGACTTCCGTGACTTTAGCAAGTACTTGGGCTTTCGTCACGAGCGGAAGACGCCCCTGAATCCGCAAGCCAATGCAGGGGCCGAGCAGTTCATGAGAGTACTGAAGAAGCTGTACCAAATAAGCAAGTTGACGGGATCGAATTTCAAGCAAGAGGTATTCATATTTCTTCGTGCCTACAGAGCAACACCTCATTGCACCACTAAAGTTGCTCCAGTAGATCTGATGTATTCTGGTCGCAAGTTCCGCACCAGGCTTCCAATTGGAGTAACTCCTCGTGAACATAACTTTGAAGAACTGTTCCAGAGAGATCTTGAGCAGAAAATGCAAATGAAAGGGTATGCGGACAACAAGAGGTATGTCAAACCCTCTGACATACAGGTGGGAGACTCTGTGCTAGTCCGAACAGAGGCAATTAACAAGGCCAAACCGGCCTATGAAGCAGAACCACTGCGGGTGCAATACAGGAAAGGCACCAGGGTGGTGGCCAAAAGGCCCGATGGCAGCTCTGTCACGAGGACCACAGCTCACTTTAAGAAAGTTTCCTTTGGATCGATGGAAGAAGCTCACAGGTGGTCCAGTTCAGAATGGCCAACAGAGCCTGTCAATGAATCACCACCAAGAAGCAGAGAAGATGAGCCCCCTGGTTTGGAGCAGACTGATAGAAGCATGACTGTCAATGAGTCCATCCCCGCAGATGCGGCCCCTCCAGTCAGCCTGCCACCACCACTTGCCAGGGAAGAGGGACCAAGGAGGAGTGAGAGGCACCGAAAAGACACTGACACTTATCTAAAGGAAAAGTACCCAGACTTTCAGCTATAATGCTGAAGTTAGATAACTGTTGCCAGACCAGGAAGGACTTTAGATACTGACTTCTTTCGTGATTAGTTTTTGCTTTTTAGGCTACCCCATGGAACTATCTGTAAGCAAGGGGGAAATGTAGTATCGTACATTAGGACTGGGCTCTAGGCCCACTGCATGCTGGGGCCATGCAGGCCCGGTTACCAGGTTGTTGTAGTTCGTAAGCCAGCATGGCAGCTGTAATCCATTAAAATGTGCTGTCCTTCCCCACCCTTCCTCCGCCCGCTCTTTTCAACCTCCAATTGTTACGTTACGTGCGACTCGCTCTGTGTTTTGCTAAAACTGTCGTTTTTGCCAGGAAACACTCTGTGGAAAGAAATAATAATTCCTGAGCATTAATTTGATTATTTGATTGTTACTTCCTCATTAATACTGCCGTTTTCAAAAAGTGAGTTTAAATGTGAAATTCGGCTTTATCGTAACCGTCTAAATGCGAAATGGGTCATATTTCAAAAATACTCCAGTTGTTCTTTTTGCACCGCGAGCAGATGCCTCTAAACTCTAGCCTCCCACTGCGTGGGAGGCTATTTAAACTCAAAAGCCTAACTTCTTCTACTTAAGGATATGTTTATAGCAAAACAATCGAAACAAAAGGAACGGCTATTCCCAAGAATGAAAGTCAAATTAAGAGCTGCCGGGTGTTGCTTTCCGAATGACATGAAAAATCAAAGGGTCGCCTATACTACTCAAGTGACATGTTTTGAAAAAATTCTCAGAATTCGCCGTTTTAATTACCCCATTTTTTTTGGACGATGCGTAATTAAAATGATTGATCTTCCCCGGAATGTACTCTCGTTGGGTGAAACCATGTGCCAGAGTTTTTATTTGAGCCTTGAATTTCGTTTAAACACGAGTAAAAATTGTGCTTGCGTGATGCTCGCAATTGTAGTGTAAATTACGTGTAAAAAGCCTCTTCTTACACAGTGTTTCTATACAGCTTTTCAATTGCCCAAGCTAAATTTTTTATATGTTGTAAAGCAATAATAGGACTTTGCAAAAATGTATTTTTCTCTTGTAATTTCTATGTACCAAGGTACGAAAGTTGCCTTCAAAAATGCCTTATTTTTAGAATTTTTTTAAAAGTGTAAAAACTAGGAATCTTCGGGCGCTTCTAACCTGAAATGAAAATGCAGTTCTTGGCACTATTTTTACATCTTTGTGTTGTAATTGTGATACCAAACATACATGTAAAAGATCATTTTGATTGACCAATCCGTCTTTTTTCTGAGAGTGATGTGAATAACTCCAAGTTTTCGGCCTACGTTATGGCGGCCGCGGCACGAAAACCGCAATTCTACTTTTTGTTGAATTTCTCAAAATCAGAAACTCTCGGGCAAGTCTGAGACTTATTTTCGAAAATAGTTGACCAAAAGGTTTCTTTTGGCAAAACATGAAGAAATCAGTGACTTCAGTTCAGTTTGAAAATGAATCCTCGATATTTACAGTCCTCTGCTCTTAAGGATGGTTGCTTGTAACAACAACAACCAGCTTTATTACCAAAATGAAAGGTTAAAATTTTACATTACAATATTTTAATACAAAAAAAAAGTAATGATTACTCAGGATAACTAAAAAGCTAATCGAGCTGAGTAAAACTAAGTACTATTGTAGTTACAACTACCTCACTTCTTTTTACCCGTAGTCCAAAATCCTCAAATATTAGAGGAACATAAAAGGATCAGTCCCTCTCGCTTTTGAGTCCTCAGACGGGATACTTAGTAATATATATTTTACTATGTAGGTGTGCGCAAGATTATGGACGCCCGTGGATGGTCTGGACATCTTCTGGCTCATGTTCACAAGAAGTGGGCCCTTGGAGAGATGACGCAACTTGAATGTCTGGTCAATGGCGCCAACGGCATCTGGGCGAGCGTCTGCGAAGAAGGAGCGGCACTTGGTCACGCGTGTTCTACTGTCACGCTGATGAATCTTGTGCGAATGGGTAACACCAATGTCCAGAATAGTTACAAGTGTACACAGCTGAGGGAAGCCGCATCTAACGTGACTAAGATCACTACCGGGATGCCCCCTCATCCCAAACAGGTTATCTACGGTGAAAGGGCGTTGGATTTGGCATTCGACTTTGGAAGCATTGCTGGTGGTACAGTTGGAGAGACCGACTTCAATCTGGCCGAGTTCTTTGGAGAGGAGGCTCCAGTTAGAATCAGCACTCTGTCGTCCGACCGCATGATCCACGAGAGGCTAGTGGATCTGTTTGGTGCAGATCCGCAATTTACGATGGAAATGGCGCATACCATGAAAGAGAAAATGCTGGAAGATCTGACCGGCAACAGGAAGGAAGAATACATGAGTCCAGTGGGCATCGCTCTCCTGTTTGATCGAGCAGGAGGAAAACTCACCGCCAAGATGGCAAAGGTGATAGAAGAGGCCGATGTGAAAAGTGTGCACGCCCAGCGTCTCATTGAAGAGGTCCGTAGGATCTGGGACAAATGGGACATCCAGGAAGATAAAGAAGTTGACGGCCTTCTCAAGTTCCATTCCTTCTATAATGGCTTCATGGCTCCCTACTTTGGCTGCTTTATTTGTCGGGATACGCTGAAGGCGTTGAAAGCAATCAATATGGATAAAGATGGCTATATCGACTGGTACGAGTTCCTGGTGTACCTGAAATGGGCGATGCGTCAGTATCCCAACATTAAAGATGCCGATGAGCTACTGTCCGTGGCTTTCCGTAAGGGCATCATCCCAGCCATGCAGGATGAACTACTCCGGAACCCGTTAAAGAGGATTGGGAAAAGTTGTTAAGCTTTCTACTAAAGAGATCACAAGTCTCTTAACGGGCTCTGAACTCTATCTTTTTTTAGGTTCTGTATTGTGAAATGGGAAAATTGCTGCTACAAAATTTAGTCTAGTAAGATTTGCACTACAGTCTGTATTGTTCCATATAAGCCAAAATATTGAAATTCAGAGTGAAATCTTTTTAATTTTTGGGAAGGTGATTGGCACAAAAGGTATTATTTTTGCTGTATGAGGCGGCTTTTATCTATAAGGCATATGAAGTAAGCATTCAAGTAGTGTATTCCGACATAACAATGTATACTTTGGTTATTGCCAAAAACAAATAAACTATTGGGCATAAATAACAGACTTGTCCCATTCTTGTTTCCCTGCCAACGGATTTAACTGTCGTTCCAAATGGAGCAGAAGAGCCGGACATTACCGTGGTAAAGCACCATAGACTGCGTTAGATAACTTAACGACCAGCTCAAAAGGAATATGTTTAACAATGAACCCTTGCGAGCTTTTTTTACTGTACAAGGAGAGAGCCGGGTTCAGGTGCCTTTCAGTGGTGTGCAGCAAGGGGTGTGGTGTCCTTAGGGCTAAGAGCTCGGGTGCGAGTTCGAGCCAAGTCTGGGACTGATTTTAACTCTCTTGCTAAACCACTTTCCTCGGTACTTTGTCTCAGTATTAAGGCAAACAAATTGGAGCTCCATGATACCTGAATTATGATTTTCGCGAATTCCACTTGAATTAAAAAAACTTACTTGATTTGAATTTCGCATATTTTTATTTCCAGGCCATTACCACATGATTTTTGAGTCTTTTAAATTTGTTAATGGTTCAGTGGAATTTATGTTAATATCATCCAACATACTTTGCTGCCCTCTTAAGTCTTGCGACTATGAAGACACGGAAACAGTCCCATATTGCAAAGAAACACAACCGTATTTACAAACTCCGATCAAAAGACACCCATCGACCAGTAAGAGCGCCTATACCCTCATCTCTATTATTTTATAATAATAACTACTTTTATGCCCTTCCCCTGGTCGAAAGTTCATATTCTCTGCCGTCATTGGGCTGCGGTTCCCGAGCTCGTTTACTGGGCGATACAAATACACAGAGACAGAATTTATTTGGAGTAAAATTGGCTAAGGGCATGGCCCTAAGCCGATTTCAGAGGAGGGGGGCGGGGGGGACACCTGAAAGCCGTATTTTGGCTGGGTATTATGTTTTTAATGCAAATATCTCGTTTACGTTTCAAGCAATCAAGCATCTCTATGCTCATTTCACATATCTATGTTTTGGGTCGTTTTGTAAATTTTTTGGTGATTTTTAGGTATATTTGGAGATAAATAGTTTTTCTCAAAGGATTAGTAAAATTCATGGAAATAGGAAATTTTGAAGATTTGGTGTCGTTTTAAAATTAGAGTTTGAAGTTAAAAATTGGTAGATACACTCTGGCTGTGTTATTCGTCCTTTCCGGCATTAACTCGGTCGTAATTTAACACAGAATTTGCTGATCTTCTCACTTTTAGGATGCTCCAGGTCACTTATCGTGTTCTCCCTAAACAATTGTCCCTTTGCCTTGGTTTTGGAGGCTGGTAATGGGGCAGTGGCAGGGGCAATGGGCTCCCGGGCAGTGGGCATTACGGGAGAATAATGCTCTTGAATTAGCCAATCAGAGCGCAAGTCATATCAACTACAAAATGATTTCATATCACATAATGCTTTTTAATTATTGCATGGCTGAAATATCAGGCAGAACCAATCCGTGGGAACAGGCTTTATTACGGGTCCAATCATTTTCAAAACTTTATGAATAGAAAGTGGAAATTAGTTCATTTCAATACTCGCTTTTAAAAGCTGAGTCGTTGTAACTTAAGCTTCTTTTTCCCCTCTTCAGGATTTAGTCGAGTTTGAACTAGCATCGTCTTATCATATCAACAACGAGTTATATTATAAGCACTATAAAGATTCCGTCAGGCAAGAATAAAAGAGCCATCAAAAATAGTCTCTCCTGGCACAAACGCCCAGTTTTAAGAGCTAGTTATATAATGAAACCAATTCAAGTAAACAGCTGGTCACTGCATATATATCTCTGTGTGGTCTTGATCAAATTCCAGCGACATTGCGTATTTCACTCGCAATCGCGGTCACTATAGCATCCAGGTTTTCATTAGCGTGTATGTATTATTCTTAGCTTAGGATCTGGACCACAGCAATAGAGCATTTGTTACTTGAAGACAGTGTAATTAAGGTTTAGGTGTTAAACTGCAGATTCTGCTGTAAAATAAAAGAAAAACACTTTAATTAAGGTTTAGGTGTTAAACTGCAGATTCTGCTGTAAAATAAAAAAAAACACTTGTACTTGCTTTTCCAGTATCGATGTTTTTAAAAACGTTTTAAAGGCAAACTCTGACGAGCCTTTTGCGAACAACAGTTGACGTGGAATGCCTGTGCACTTGGTCACTTGTAAGATCATGCGCTTGTCACCGCTCATAGTACGCATGCTGATATTATTTGTGAAATGTTTTAGATTTTTTAACTGAATTTTCTATTTGGGCGGTATCTCGCATGGGTCCCTCGGTCTCGTTCGTGCTTTCCCATTTGGGTGTTATATCTTTTCTTTTGTTTATTTTTCTTTAGGATATATTATTCATGTACTATAATTGAAACCCAATAAAGCTTTAAAAAAAATTTAAAAAAGTGATTCCGCAATATCTTTACTTAATAAATTCTGCTGCACTTGAGCGATTTTTTTCATTACTAGAAAACTCATTTTATGATAGGCCATTTTACAGTTGTCTGCTCAGTGACCTGGCCTTTGAATGGCAGCGAGGTTAGAATTGACCTTGTTTTGATACAGACCTCACTGCTTTTGTTGTGTAAATTAAGTTGTTCTAATGCTAACCAGGGCATTAACATGACAAAAGCAAAGAAGTCTTTGCTGCCATTCAAAGGCCAGCAAAATGCAGGTCACTCAGCAGAGAACTATAGAGTGCTTTCACATGACGTCACGTCGGCCATATTGGTGTCCCAAAACAATGAAACGGCGGCCATGTTGGTGTCCCAAACCAGTCCTGTGGGAGATGAACTCTTTTCTTATGCAAATGATTTCTTTTGTTCCAAAACATTTGCATAGATGCTGGCCACGTGAGTGAAAACACTCTATAAAACGGTCAAAAGCCGATGAGCAATGGAGAATTTTAATGAGGCGTCCCTCATGTTTCAATAAACTAGGCGTGAAGGGAAAATATTATATCTTTACGTAAGCATAACAGAGCATAAGAGTGACGCCTTTAGAGCATATATATATAGTTGGACATCGAAAAACACTGATTAGCATGGCATAACAGTAAAAATTTACCACAACGTGTAAGCCCTTACCATGCAGAGGCGGATCCAGGATTTTTCTTAGGAGGGGGTGCACCTCTAAGAAATGACGTTACTGATCGGTGAGGTTAACAAATTTTAAACGCGAATACGAAGAAGAAGGCTTCGTCTCACGGGGGTGCACCCCCTGTACCCTCCACCTAGATCCGCCCCGTCTTACCCTTGATCTTGATAGAAGACCGTAACAAAACATCAGTGATCTGACTAGGTTCATTTATACATAAGGTTACCGTGTACCTTTAGGGGTGTCTCCAGTACAGCAAAAGGAGCTCCTCGCGAGTACATCACAGAACTATTCGAAAATTTTATTAAGCTTTTTTCGGGAAATGAATTTTTGAAATTTCCGCAAAGGTGGAACCGTAACGAAGATATAAATCACCAACTCAACACGATTTTTATATTATATTTACCACGGTGTGGCAAAACAAACAAAAGTCTCTGTATTGTTTTTTTTTTACGATATTTGCACTTAGATTAAATTTGTTTAACCGGAGACCGGATCTTCACAAGACAATTCGCTAAAATTGTGAATTGAGCTAGCCACTCAGATAAGATTATTAGAATGAAGTGCAAGGAAGTAAGGCTTAAAGTTATACACAATTCTGCTTTGACACCCTCTCTTTTAGAATTCAAATTCTTACCGCGGACCGTACGTACATAATAGCAATATCTGCAGTTTACCAAAATGGAACACTGAAACACTCTTTGACATCAATGAGAAGCTACTGAAGTTGATGTTTTGACGGTATATTCGCTTTTGTAAAATAGACAAGATAAAAAATATATAAATGGGTCATTACTAGCGGCGGTTTGATCGTCTTTTCTGCTTACGTGTAATAAATGTGCGAGTAAGATATGAGCTTCCAAACACCCTTATTTGTTTTTTAAGCTACTTTTTTAATTAATGGCTCAAACATCCCAGACAACAAACACAAGCCCAACAAATAATGTCTTTATGGAGATGTCATATACATTGTTATCAACCTATCGAAAGTCCTGACTGTGAGCGAATATGTGCACGCGTTTGTTTCTATTTGTAATGTTAGGACCTCGCTTTTTTTCAGTATCTCTGGCTTGCATATCACGACAAAACGAAATTCTGACCTCTCTGTATTGGCCGTTGCGAAATTCAGCAGGGAACTGGGGCGAGTTTCAAATTTTCACCAATCGATAAACTGACACCATCAGTACCATCACTATGAAAGATCATGTTAACATTGGTCATTTGACCAAGTATGGTGCTTTTAGAGTGAACAGAGACCAAGTTATGGACCTTGAAATTTGGTTCAAAATCCATACAAACGTCTCTAATTTTGAGACAGCGTCCCCCATAATCATACAAACTTTTACAAATTTTATGATTTCCGTGATACTGTTTAAAATGGGCAAACATAGCAATTTTCATCTCAGCTGTTTTCAAATAGTAGGTGCATGGCGAGATTTTACGGTTGTCACAAAGTTGATTATTTGGTTTTGGGGGACGCTGTCTCAAAATTAGAGACGTTTGTATGGATTTTGAACTGATATTTCAAAGTCCATAACTTGGTCTCTATTCACCCTAAAAGCATCATATTTGGTCAAATGACCAATGTTAACATGATCTTTCATGTGATGGTGTCAGATTATCGACTGGTTAAAATTTGAAACTCGCCTCAGTTCCCTGCTGAATTTCGGAACGGTCAATCTGGCGGCAGACATTCAGACAGCTTGTTCTGCCCTGTGTAATGTGTAATGGGTGTGTCAGGATGCTGAAATGACCGTACACATGTTCCTTTTTCGCATTATTCTCGTCTATTCAGTCCGTTGCCTAAAGAATGACATCACCAAAAGAACAATAAAATCATATCACCAAAAAACGATTGTAAATTTCGAGCCCCCAACAAAATCATTGTAAAACGTATTACTGGATCATCAAACGGTTCACCGAAAAATCACGGAAATCAGCTAAACTGGGTTGGGTAAGAATATCTCTTGGATTCAGTTTTCGTGCTTCATGTCTAGTAATGTGAATAAGTCTCACAGGAGTTCCATTGTTTCGGCTATTGTTTAGTCGAAACAAAGAACTGTATGCATATTAAATGTTGGGGTTATACAGAAATCTTGCCCAGAGCTACTCCAAAATTTCATCAGATAGATTTTCCGGGAAATGAATTATTGAATTTACCGCGAAGTTTAAACTAACCAAGGTATAAATCAATTTTTTTAAGTTCCAGCATAACACGATTTTTATACAGTGGAACCCCGCCTTACGACCACCCCGTTAATACAACCACCTTGTTATTATGGCCACTTTATTCTGGCCCGAAAAAAACCTCAGCCAGTCATTTTCCTATTTAAAGAACCCCTTTAATACGACCAACTCGTTAATACGACCAGTTTTCCATGGCCCGAAGGTGGTCGTATTAACGGGGTCCCACTGTAGTTATTTTTACAATATTTGCATTTATATTAAATTTCTTTAATGACAGAGCGGGTCCTCACAAGAAAATTCGCTAAATTCTTAAACTGAGCCAGCAAATCTTCTAAGATCATTAGATAAAAATCGTTACCGAAGAGTCTTTTGATTTGCCAGTTCAAGAATACAAGAGACACGCCCTGGCTGGCAGTACACTGTAAATCAGAAAGATCTGTTTTAGCCCTAAAAATAGGGCCGATTCGGTGAGTAAAATACAGTCCTATTTTTGGGTCTAATTTGGCTCCCTTAAATCAGGGCCAATACAGTTCAATTAGCTAGGGCTGATTTGGCCCTTGGGCTGAAATGGGCCCTAACGTGGGCTGGAATAGCTTTTTGATGTAGCTTTTTTGGCCCAGATTACGCTCAAATGGCTCCAGGAAAGGCCGAATCAGACTTTCGCCAGCAGGGCTGAATTGACACTTTGGGGCTGAAACAGATCTTTTCAAATGTCAGTGTAGAACTACCGAGTGTGGTTAGGATTTGGTGTTTATCCTCATACCGCCCAACGACCATTTTGTTTACTACTTTCAGTAAATCCGTATTGGAAATAAATATTTTTCTCTCACAATGGTTTCTGTTTACCTTTCATTTTGAATTACAACGAAGCAATGATTAGACATAAGGACTCCTCCAGTAAGCGAGACATCATTTTACTCAATTCTGCTATGATGCCCTCTCGTTCAGAATTCAAATTGTTAACGCGAAAAATTTAGTTAAGAATAGCTCTAATTATATGCGTCGTTTTGCAGCATCTGAGGTTCACTGGTTATTGGTAGGATGCCAAAAAGGTGTGCAATTCCACAGTTTGGTTTCAGCTCCACTGACAAATACTGCAGAAAATAGGCAGACCTTTATCTTACAGCAGAAATTTAAAGCTTTTTGAAAACTGCTCATGTTATTTCACACTACCACTCAAAGAGCTACATACATAATAATTTGCATGAATTTTTATTATTTTTATCATAATAATTAGGTTTGAACTTGAAAGATATAAACGTTAAACACTTGAGTTCGTTATTCTTCAAATAGTAATTCGCTAGGAAGTTCCTTCCTGTTCGTCTTCAGGGTAAAGGGTGGCAATGGGAGGGAGGAACCTCACTTTGGATCTAAACGTTTTGACAATGTTCTTTCGTTTTGGAGCCACTTCGCTCCTAGTCTTTCGTATTCCATCATCTGGTTTCTTGTAATAGCCATATAGGGATGGGAAGAAACTTGATGGAGGGAGACTGACTGATTTAGCATCCAATGAACCATGGCTTAAACGCGCCAAAATACTGAAATGAAGGAATGAAAAATGAAGTTTTTTTAAAATATTATCAACCTCATTCCCAGGGTCAACTTTTGGTTCCCTCTGGGGTGGGGAAGAGTTGTAATTTAACTGGTAGAGGGTGGCAGGTGACAGTCTTTCTACTAATGACCTGTGTCTTAAATCCTTCATAGATTTGAAAACGGGAATTAACATTTTTGTGGAGGGATAAATGGGGAGAGCCCAAGGAGAAACCCAGCAGGGGCAGGAATGCGTTTCAATGCAGACTATTGTTACACAGGGTGGCTACTGGAATCCTTTTGAGGTGGTTTCAACTTGATTTTACAGATGTAAGTTCTGTAAAGTCACTTTTCAAATGAAACCTCTCAAAAGCTTTTTTTGTGACTTCTCTTTGATATACTGAGAAAGAGTGTGCTCTAACTTATGAAACCATCGATAAGTGAATTCCCCATGACAGTGCTTTGTTAAAAAATTTAATGTCCCTCTATATGTAACTCTGCTGACTTACTCCTGAGCCGCCAGACGGTTTCGATTGATATCCAAGTCCAGCAACTTTGGTGTAGTGACCATTGCAGGGGGAAATGTGGACATGACCTGAAAATTAAAAACGCGGTTTGTAAAAGGAAGGCGCGGAACGACTGTTGTTTCTATCATTCTCTGCGTGATCACTTTCAAACAGGAAATTATTTTAAAGCTATTTTAAATCCAGTCTCCATGATTGTTTCAGCTTTGAATGTTGCATAGTCTGCGAGCAATCTCTTATTTTTCTTTTGAATCACAGTAGATGAAGAGCATGCGAGAGGCGAGAGCAGCGAAGCCGCAAGGAACCAAGGTGGAACCCCTAACGAAGAGAAAATGGGACACACCCTTTTTTCCTCTCTCCGCCCCAATCTCTCCTCCTTTTTGCCATTAATTAGCATAATACAATTTTACTTTTTTACATGCTGCGTGTCGCTAAGAGGAAAGAAAGGCAACCACTCGCAGTGTAATGGTTGCAATTCCTTGTCTGATATCAACCAATCAGAAGTGAGACTTATCGTGGCTTCAGTTACCATGCCCTTCACTATCCCCGATACCTTCCATGTTGTTCCCTGGTTTGCCTCACGCGTGACACCAGTACCATCCACAGGGGAGAGGGGCTTCTCTTTCACCGCTGCTTGTGCTTGTAATAGCGCTTTTCTTAACTTTGCACGCTCCTTGGGAATGTTGGCAGCTTCCCGTATGTCTGCCTCGTTTATTTCCTTCACGTCTTCTTTGATTTCATCTAGTCGCGGGATCAGATCTATCGGTTTAGTGAGAAGAATACCGGTCTCTTCGTGCACTTGAGTTAAACTGGTAACAAAAGAAAGATGAAAACAAATTGACGTTTCTGATTGATTACCATATTAGAAAACAATGCATCCGTTTTTGGTTCATTTATGTTATTAGGGAGCTTAAGCAACAGCGTTGTTGAGCGACGGACGTCAACCGGAAGTGGACCTTTTGCATCATTGGGCAGTGGTTTGTTTGAAACTCTCGGACAAATCCTCTTCATAAGAGAAAAGAGACTTAGCAATACAAATTTGTTAGCGTCAAGACATATAAAAAGGGAGAAAGGCTCACTTTCGGTTGACGTGCGTCCCTCAAAAACGTCTTTGCTTAAGCTCCCTATTGACACTTACACATGGTAAAGCTGTTCCAAAATGTCTGCTCGAGCCTTAATAAACTGTTCTTTCTTCTGTCCCCACAATTCTTTTTGCTGTTTGAAAAGTAAAAGCGTTAAAAAAACTTGCAAGAAAAAAATAGAGAGGGTCTGTGAACAACGCCTTTTTCTGTAAGGAGAATTTGAGTTTTGACTCACCTTTACCATTCTTTCCTCCATTTCTTTCAAGGACAGAAGCACTCTCTCGTTAACATTCGTCTCCATCTTCATTCTCTGCACATTTTCTTGAATTTCCTTAACGCGACGGAAATGCACGTACTTTTTGACCATTTCAGTGAAACGCTTGCGAGGAAAGTCCATGGCTTCTTTTATAAGTTTCGTCGTGGACTGAAATGACAACGAAAACAAAACACTTAACACTTTGAGGGTGTTTTCTTTGAAACTATGTTGAAGCCCCAGTAGCCTGCGAGCAAGCGCTTCATTTGGGGAAGTCGCGAGAAGTCACGCGAGAGCAGCACGCGTTCTCTCGTGGTGGGGTTCATCAGAATAATAATAATAATAATAATTTAATATTTATATTGCGCAAATATGATCAAATGCGCATTACATGAAAGTAAATTATCGACATTAATAAGTTATCCAAAATAGCTAAAAATATTATATATATATATATATAAAAAAATGGATCTATAAAAATATAATATATACATAATCCTAAAAAATCCTAATAAAAAGCTAATCTAAAAAAATGTGTCTTAAGTAAACCTTTAAACCTATGAAAATTGGGCTCATTTTAGGAGTCCCGGTCTTTCTTCAATTGAATTGCTAACAATATGGACATTGCATTGAATTCAAGTCACGCCAAGGTTATATTTTTATTTCTCATTGCTAATACCTCCACAACGGGATAGAAAAACTTGAAGGATACTTGAAGAATATGCGCTTTATGATTGGTCATGTTGTTATAATGCATTGCTCTACGTTACGCAGGTGAAAAAGTTATAATGCACGCGGCATACGTCACCAGTAAGAGCATAATCGATATTGAATAAGGATTTGAGTTGAGGGTTAGTGTTCATTAGTAAAACATGAATCCTTCTAAGCTGGTCTTTCAACAAGGCATTTCAATTTAAAAAACCTTTGTACCTCATAAAGTTCTTGAGATATTTCGTTTGCCTTCATTGCTTCCTCAAGTAGCTGCAGATTCCTTTGCTGATCCTTGCGGCGGATATATTTCTGTCCAATTCTGCGACTTTTCCAGATTGAAGCCAAATTCTTTATTATAGTTTTCTGCTCGCCGACCGTTCTCTTGACCTCGGCCTCCCGCCTTAGAACTCTTTTCATCTGTGCGTCTTTTTTCTTAACAGATTCTTCGCCCGTTTTCTTGGCAGATTCGAGTTGTTTTTCGTGTGTGGCTATTTGCGAAAGAAGCTCTCTAAATTTCTCCATAACATCCTGTCGTCTGCCTTCCTAGAATGTCATAATCAGGAAAAAGAAACAAAGAAAAGTTTTGAGTCGAACCTAACATCATATGAAGTTCTAAGTTTAAGTCTGCGATTAAAATCCTAAAATAACGTTACTTTTCATCTACAACTAAGTTCGACAGAGTGGTTCCAACTGCTGGGTTTGTGTATGAGATCGAGGAATGGGAAAAATCTTCCATTGCACGTTCTTTCCGTTTTTTTTTTTCGCGTGCCTCATTTTTCCTTTTCTCCTGTTTCAATGCCTTGCCATGCAGGCTATAATCCCACTAAAAGCTATTGAGCAAATTTCTCTCATAATATTACTCTTTACATCTGTGCCCTGCTAAAAGAGACTGCATATCAAAATGTGCTGGAACGGAATCAAATGCAAGTGCCTGGCAGCAGTATCTTTTATGTTGGTATTCCTGTTGTTAGCCTGCGTTGCAGGAGCTACCGCACGAGTTTGTTCCAAAAGGTCGCTTTTGTTAATAATAATAATAATAATAATAATAATAACAACAATAACTTTATTTAAATAGCGCTCATATCCTGAGCTCAAGGCTCCGCTACGATCCTCCGCTACGATCCCGCGCGGACACGCTTGCTATGCAGGCTACCCTTTCATTAACCTTTAAAACACAATCTGTAGCTGTAATCTTTCTTATTTCTAAAATTTATATTTTCATTACCTCTAATAGTCTCCAAACCACAAATTCTAGTTGCTGTCCTTGGAACTCTTCATGCGTCCCTTTCATTTTTCCGGTCTGCATTGACCCATAATCCTTCATTTTTCTGCCCAGCGCAGGATCAGGTTGGTATTCCATTTTTCCAAGATTTGTGTCCTACAAAATTATAATACCGTTTAACTCCGAAGGACACAACCGGCCTCAGTTCAGTTGCCTGTAAGGGGTCATCGACGCCGTTTGCAACGAGAATGTCATTGGTTAAAAGAACCAATAACAAAGGATCCGGGACCAATACACATTAAAGGCTGGAAGAGACCTGAAGAAGCTTTATACCTGTGTTAAATTGGATCCTAGTCCAGGCTCCGGTTGTTCAAAAGCTGGATAGCGCTATCCACCGGGATAAATCACTATCCAGCGCAGGGGCGGATCCAGGATTTTTTTTAGGAGGGGGTGCACTCGTCTCTTGCTCTACTTCAACACCAGTAAACCACGTTTTTTTTTTTGCAGAATACCAGTTGTATTAGAAAACCTCAGGTCATCTCAGGGGGGGGGGGTGCGCACCCCCTGCACCCTCCCCCTAGATCCGCCCCTGCAGCGGATAAATATCAGGGAAAGCAATTGTGCTATCCACTGGATAGTAGTCTGTGTACAGCCGCCCCTCCCCTCAAAAAAATGATTTTTTTTTAGGGGATGGGGCGGCTGTACACAGGCTACTGGATATTCGGTGAATAGCGATATCCACCTTTCGAACTACTGGGGCCAGGTGCCAGTATAGGGTTAACATTGAAGGCTGGAAGAGACCTGAAGAAGCTTTATACCTGTGTTAAATTAGATCCTAGTCCAGGCTCCGGTTGTTCAAAAGCTAGATAGCGCTATCCACCGGGATGTATCCAGCGCAGGGGCGGATCCAGGATTTTTTTTAGATAGCTCGTCTCTTCTCACTTCAACACCAGTAAATCGTTTTTTTTTTTTCAGAATACCAGTTGATAGAAAACCTCAGGTCATCTCGGGGGGAAAGCAATCCCCAGATGCCCCTGCAGCGGATAAATATGGAAACAATTGTGCTATCCACTGGATAGTAGTCTGTGTACAGCCGCCCCTCCCCTCAAAAAAATGATTTTTTTTTTTAGGGGATGGGGCGGCTGTACACAGGCTACTGGATAGTGATTTATCCGGTGAATAGCGATATCCACCTTTCGAACTACTGGGGCCAGGTGCCAGTATAGGGTTAACATTGAAGGCTGGAAGAGACCTGAAGAAGCTTTATACCTGTGTTAAATTGGATCCTAGTCCAGGCTCCGGTTGTTCAAAAGCTGGATAGCGCTATCCACCGGGATAAATCACTATCCAGCGGATAAATATCAGGGAAAGCAATTGTGCTATCCACTGGATAGTAGTCTGTGTACAGCCGCCCCTCCCCTCAAAAAAATGATTTTTTTTTTAGGGGATGGGGCGACTGTACACAGGCTACTGGATAGTGATTTATCCGGTGAATAGCGATATCCACCTTTCGAACTACTGGGGCCAGGTGCCAGTATAGGGTTAACGTGAGTCGTGGTAGAGGTGTTCTGGGTGTCTCAAAGCCTTCTGTGTGTTTCCGGCAACATTTCAAAGTGAAGCGCAGTAATCGTATAATTGCCCAAATTAAAGAGGTGTTTGTTGTTGTGGGTTCGACATTATTGGCTTACTTTCTGATCATGAATGAGAAACTTCATCGATAAAGCTTGGTTTAAACATCTCACGCCATCTGTCAACTAATCAGAAGCAATACCATACTTTTTTGTAATTTTCTTGCACTTGTGTTACCCATCTTCTTTGTGATTGGTTCACTGGATTGACTGAATATGTGCGTGTGATTGGTCAAACGAATTTTTGGATTGGTTTAAAACCACTCCAAAGAATATTGACTTTACCTTTAACTCCAAACGTTTGCTCATGAGGGCACGGGAAAGATGTAACTCCACTGAAATCAGCATCTCATTGGATAAAATAGCCATGCGCGCCAGCATTTGTCGAGTATCACCGAAATTCTCGTCCAGCGGCAAGGGAGCGTGAGAGCGAATAGCATGCGCTTCTTGACCAAGATCTACAATGATGACAAAAAAGTTATGTAACTTGTCTAAAGATTTCCCAGTAAGAGTTGATTTCCGTTGTCGTGTAATTTTCGGGTGTAAACGCTAAAAAATCATCAGTACATAAAATAGAGACAATGTACTGTATGAATGTTGAAGCGTAAACGTTTAATTTAAGTCAAGCGAGGTTCAACTTTCACGTTAACGCGCGACCTTTAAAACAGTGCCTCTTTTTATTTTCGCACTTAAAAGCTTTGCGACAGTGAAAATCCAACCTCAAGAGTTAACGTAATCCAAAAATATTTGACTGAACTCATGAGACTACATATTGTTACTTAAAAGTCACGTTAACGAGTTTTATAACGAAAACTTACGTTCTCTATCCAGAAGAGTGGCCACACAATCCTTAAATCGGTTCAGGGCACGAAGAAGGAGCAGCGCTTCTTTGTGTATGTTTTGGACATCTTTCTTGTGATCTTGTTCATATCTTCTTATCTCCGCCTGATGTCTTTGGTTTTCTTTAGCCATGTGATCTTTCAGACTTTGAAGTTCAGATTCATATTGCTGTTTCACTTTCGCCATCATCTGTCTCGCAGTTTGCGGCTCGAGGCCCAGTTGAAGTGAGGTTTTCCTGCGTTCGCGCCGCGGTGCCCCTGCCATGCTCGCCACGCTCATCGTCGCAGGGGTGGGGGGAAAGGACATCATTCGTTCCTCGAGGCATTGGATTTCCTCCATGAATTGACCTAGTCTCTCCTCTTGATACTTGATCATTTCTTCGTTGCATTCGATCTCACCTGTCAACCTATTAAGTTTAAGAAAATAATAAAAACAAGCGCTGTCTTCCCTCAAAACTCTTGTTTTTTACGCATTGAATGAAATGTACATCTGCTATTACAAGTTATTGATGTTGAATTGTTCGACACTTATTCCAATTTTATTTTATTTTTTATTTTTCAAATTACTAAAAGGAAGTCAAGTGAATGTCCAAAAAATCGCATAAAAATCAGTCGATTTCTTCACTTTCAAAATTCGCGCAGCCGTTTTGAATTTTTAATGACGTCATTTGCTTCCACAATGGTGGCAAGCAAATAATGTCATAAACTGTTTCTAAAGATAAAATAAATGATCGGATGTAACTTAATGGAAAAAATTGGGCCTTAGACTTCATTGATAACAACGTAATGTCAGTCTGTTTAACAAATCTAGCCGGAGGAAAATTCGATCACGTGACGGCTTATGTGACAGCTGGATATCGCCACTTTAGAAACGAGAATAGTACTGGACCGTGAAAACTTTCGCAAAGACTTCTGGGACTGTTAATACAGAGGTGGGAAAAATTAGCCAATAACTGATCGGCACGGATAAGCGCGTCCTCATTAATGATCCCAGAAGCAATTGCGGGACACAATTCGGCTCCAATTCCCCTCCCGCCTCGTCCAGCTTTTGCTATTTGCGGGCAAAGATGGCAAAATGATGAGTATGAAAATAAAGTATAGTGTGTGTGATAAGTGACGAATTGGCGTTATGGAATCAACTCCTGGATTATTGAAAAGTGGCGCCAGATTTAAACCAATAAAAATTAACCGCGCAAGAGTACTAAGAATAAAATACCTTTTGTTTTCCCTCTCAGCGTCTTCTAGCTTTTGTGTCAGCTCCTCCATCGCCCGTTCATTTTCGCGTTTTATGTCTTCCAACTGAATCTCCAACTCACTTCTCTCTTGTTCAACCCTCACTTTGTCAGACTGCAATGATGTGAATTCCACTTCAAACGCAGCGGACTTCTCTTTCTCAATCTTTAGCTCGTCCTCTGCTCGTTGTAAACTTTCCTTTAGCTTGTCTATTTTCTTGTTTGCTTCTTCGCTATTCAGATTTGTTGTAGGTGAAGGCTGTTTTGCTTCTTGTGTCGTTGCATTTGATGCGTCACTGGCGACGACAACTTGAACTTTGGACGATTTTGGTGTTTTTATGATGAATTTTTCTCCTGTCGGAGCAAGTTGTTGCGATGGCTTCTCCACGAGGCTAATTACGGACACGCTTTCTCCGCTCTCTCTTAAACTTCCGATAGACTCACTACTGCTTTTGTATAAACCGTAAGATTCTTTTCTCTTGTATTCGTCTAGCTTTTCGTTAAGCTCACTTATGATTTTTTGTTGTTCACTCTGCAAAAATAAACACAGGCTTTCATCATACGACGAAAAAGTCAATAAAGTTGAACCTCTATGTACAATTTGAGGTAGTCGGACACCGGATGTTTGGCTTTATTTTAGTCATAAATTGCAAATATATCTTTAGGTATCTTGTTCACCTAGATGGGTGTACTGGTGTTTGCCAGTTCGTAAACGACATTTACTTATTTAGCTTTATTTTTCCGCAGTCAAGCATGAACTTTTTAAAGTTTTAAAACTTACTCTTTTGCAACATAGTCCCTAAAGGTTCTCTCTTACCCGTTTGTCCGCGCGAAATCTGGGAAAGGGTGGACGAGTCTGTCTCGGTGACGTCACACCTCACGATTGAGTCCAGGTTTGACAGAGGCGAGAAGGCCTTGGCACTAGGTTGACTTTTCAGTAGACCTGCCTTGATGTTTTGCAAGGCTAACTTAGTGGGTAAATTTCTTATTTTATTTAAGCACATTAACTAGTCAGCTCACTTAGGTACTTTTAATTAATGACCAAAAAAACTGAAACCAATCAAGTGGAAGTGGTACGTTCATTTCCATGTACCGACAATTTCCCGCCCTCAGCACGCGGCTGCCATGCATGGTACGGGTTTCTGGTTGGTTCTAAATTTTTTTTTACGGCACAGGCCTGTGCCTTAGCTAAAAACTAAAATATCTTTCTAACATTTGCTGACCAGTTTACTCTGCAAGTCCTCACACTGGTATTGAAACTTCTCCGCCTTCACTTTAGTTTTCTTGTTATTTTTTCGCAGTTCTTCATTTTGCCTCTTTGTTTTCACGAGCTCGCCTTCGAGATCAATAGCTTGGCTGTCGAGCTGAAAGTAAACGTATAATAATAATCAATGGCCCTCTATATTGTCGCGACAAACAATGTCGAGTTGAATGGATCGTCACGCGCAGGGACTGACAACCCTAATCTCTCGAGCTTGCGTGACGATCAAAATGGTTGTGGCAAGTTTAGAGACTACTTCTACACACACCTCATGAATGACTTGATTTCTTTTGGCCATCACCTGAGCCATCAATAGAAACTGCTTTCTGGTGTGGTCGACGTTTAAGCGAATCTTGCGAACTGGAATAACTTTGGTTGCTTGTTCCAAGATTTTTACGACACCTGCTTCCGCTTGTTTCCAATTATCCTCGTTGTCTAGTTCCTCCACTACCAAATAAAGAAATTTCATTGCTATGTCAGATATTCAGATTGCGCACCACAATCAGATTACGTCCCTAAAAGTTCTAAAACGCGCATGATCGACTTTAGTATATAAAAACTGATTTAACTTCAGTGATTTGCTAAAATCTTTTGAAAGTGTAACATTTATAACGAATAGTGAAAGCCATGAACATAAACTAAGCATTGAATGAATTGTCCATAAATAGAACCAGTCCTGTAGAAGTTGAACTCTTTTCTTATGCAAACGCTTTCTTTTGTTCAGACAAATTTGCACAGATCTGGCTAAATGTGTGAAAACGCTCTATAATCTTAGTATAGCAGAGATATGGTAGCACATGAAATTATTCGCTCACCATTATAAATTATCTTAGTGCGTGGCCCGCGAGGCTTAGCCTGCTGTCTCTCGGTGCCTTCGTCTGGAAGATCCTCTTCTAATTTACTCTCACCAATACCCAGAGAGTCAGCTATGACTTTTAACCGCACTAAAGCTTTGCCAAGACCATGCATTTCTGAGGCAATTCCCGAAGGGAGATCTTCCAATAGGAGTTCAGGGCTGAACATGTATATGCGCGTAGGTTTCCTTAGTTCCTCGTCAGCCGTTGATTCCATCCACGACTGCATTTGTCTCATTATGTCTTCTCTTTCAATACAAAGCTCAAGGTAAGATGCTATTCCCTTAAGAACTCTCCGTCGTTTGGCGCGCTGTGAAGACAAAAAAGGGGCATATTGATAGTCTGGCAAATTTGATAACTCATATCGATATATATTTTTTATTGGCTATTTTGAGGTTGAGATAGCCGGATCTGGGCTTTCAGATAGTTGAGCGTGCCGCGAAGTAGGAGATAGCAGGAAAAAAATAAGGAGGAAGAAAGGGAGAGGGGAAAGGAGGGAATGCATTCCTTAGCTCTCACCTCCCCAACCCCACCCCTCGCTGTTTTTCCTGCTCACTGCTCTTTGCGCCGTCCCCACTATGTGAACGCCTGGAACAGGCTAAGATCGAGAGTGGAAATGGGCGGTTTTGTGTCGAATTGCATCATGGCCGGTGCTTTGGGGACGCTACGACTTCTCTTATTGGACATTACGAGGGTTAACTTCGTGCCCCAAAACAGTCCCATAGTGCAATTCGACACAACACGCGCCATCTCGAAATGGCCAATATCTATTGTATGTAAGCTGAACTCAAGTTTGCTGGTGGCTAGCTTGATCCCAGATCCCGTCACTCGTTATCAAAGCAAGACTAATTCGTGACGTTGTTTTACCTTAGATGTCGTTAAATAAAAACACTTTCATTGTTCTCTCTAGAATTATTTTCTCAACACGTTTGCATTTTACTCACACATTAAGACTATGCAAACGCTCATTTTACAAGAGAGGCTTTAGTGACGTCACAGCTCAGAGTAGGTTCCAGGCTTGACCGAACCGGAAACGCCTTAGAACTTCGTTGCTGTATACCATTAAGTAATGATCCAGGTAAGAAGGAAAGCAATTTCTATTGTTGTGGCGCAATACGCTTTCCTCACATAGAAATGTTTTCATTTTTACGCAGAGAGTGCATAAATCTACAAAAAGGCTGTTTACGAAAGAAAATGTATTTAAACTCCACTTTTAAAGGGTGTATTTTTGTGGTAAAACATTTCGACCAATCACAAGAGTTGCAAACAATGGCAAAGAAATGTTCACAATTTTACATGATCCGCACATACGATTTCTGTGTTACTTAGACTCAGACGAGATTTTGTTATAAGGAAGTTGGATAGAAAAAAAAGGATTGATGTACATGCTGCTTTGCGAAGATTTCGTAAAATTTGATGTTTAAACCAATCAGAACCTTAGTAGAGACAATAGTAAAGTTAGCACCTTTTTGCATTCCGACGTGTTCACTGCGTTTTGGTCCTTTCCTTCTTATCTGGACCATTACTTAAATGTCTTAAATTCTTCTTTAAATGTCTGAAATAAAATTATGAGTTTTGTAGATTTATAATGAAAGAGGTAGGAAGAGAAAGAAAGAGAAAGAAAAACTGGATTTTTCGCGTTAATGAACTTCCTTTCTTCGATCAAGGCGGAACACCAGAATCTTTCCCAAGTACGCTTCTATTTTACTGGTCCTCAGGTAAAGCAGCTGCTAATGGGGTATTATTTCTGTTGTTTTGCAAGCTAACCGCAAAAGAAATGCTTCAACGCCCCTTTTTATAAGTAATTCAAGAGCTCCATATATGACATGTGCAGTAAAGTTGCAGACATTTTAAGCGGAATTTTGTTTCTTTTTTAAACACGTTTGCACTATGAAGATGTAAACTTTATACAGCAAGGAAACCGCTTTGATAATAAAAACTGCTTTCTAAACTGGTAACCAGATTAAAGAAGTTAAGCACCAAGGTAATTATAATTATTATGCGCATAAATCAGTATGCACCGGTGATTTTGTTTTGTTCATTAACACATGCGTTGAGGCAAATAAATATATTTTGTTTAGTCGTCAAGTTGTTGCTACTTCGGGCTTAAATTCATTTTGTCAAAAACGACTGACACAGCTACGGCGGCCCACGGTGAAAAAAGCGAAAAGGAACAGACGTGGAGATTATTCTTGCACCTCTTGCATCGACTGCTTCGCCATGGATGTCGTTAAGTTTTTGTTGCCCGCCTCAGCCAGCACTTTAATCGGGCTTTTCTTTAACATTAAAATGATTCTCGGCTGCTTTAGGAAGAGAAAGAGCCCACAGCCACACAAATACAGCGCCGTTATCGCTTTGCAGTTTGTGTATCATGTAGCAATTCTGACTATGAACACTGTTGAAGTTTGGCAAGGATTGGAAGAGAAACCCGAAAATTTCTGCAGCGTCTTCAAAGCACTGATGATTTCCGTGAATGTCTTGCAGTTTTTCAACATAATAGCGGTGTGTTTTATTTGCTACTCGCCCGATGCCTTTGCCGACCGACAGTTTTTTAACTTCGCTGTGACCGCATCTTCTACGGCTTTGGGACTTCTTGCGTGTATACTTTGCGTGTGGTTTACCTGCTCGAATTTTTTAGACTTCCTCTACCGAGCTTCCATCGCTGGACTGTTGTTGAGCGTTTTAGCAGCTTTTTTACTTTGTGCAACAACACTGATATTCCCGTGGTGTTCTCAGAAGAGTTTTGTTCCGGAGTCACCTCAAGAGAAAATGTTTTTCCCGGAAAACAAGAAGACCGCAGTTTTCTGCCCAATAATGTTGTTATGCTTTGGAGTGCCGTTGGTTTTCTATGCTAAGCCTGACCTTATCTCCGACCCAAGACTAACCAAGTTCATTTGCCTTCTTACCATGAATCTTATAGTTGGAATTATTTTGCCTGTAACCTTTAGTGCTCTAACGACCGAATTGAGTTACACAGAGACACATGAAATGACAGTAAAGGTTTGAGTATTGTTCAAGTTGTGGCCTAAACCATGCATGTCGGCAGTGGACATGAAAACAGACAGAAAATTCAATTCGCTTGCGTTCAATCTTTATCGCGATTACAGCTCACTAGGCACAATTTGTCATGCCGTTAAATTCATAGCGACCGCGCCCAAGTACAGAGACTTAAGACCTGCTCGTCGTAAAGTTTTCGCGTTTAACGCCGCGTGAGAGAATTCCTTGTCTTTGTTGAGTAGAGGATCGCAAGAAGAGAAATTTACAAAAAAAATTGCTGAGTTTTTACTTTCTCGCTCATTGCTATCGCCGTTCACGTCGTCTATTCTACTTCAACTTCAGCAAACACTGAGTTTCCGTTTTATTGGCAATCTTTTTGTGTAGGAATGGTTCGCTGAAGCTCTCGATTATACCCTAGCTTGTGGCCTCACAAGTTGCGTCTGTATCCATTAAATAGTCATTCGGGCGTAGAACCCATAGCTTAATTCAGAGTCGTTATAGCAACTTAGAAAGTGGAGATTACTTCGGGATTGACAGTGTTTTATGTCAAGTTAGCTGCCCTTAAAAGTGTTAATGACAAATCAGTGGTCGTTGTTTTCTGTGTAGGTGGACATGAGTTTTGAAGCTGTTACGGGAGTCGTGTTTTTCTTTTATCGCAAATTTAAGTGCTGCTTCTCTACATTGAAAATGTTTGATCAGCAGGCTTAACTCTTGAAGACTCCAGCAATACGCGAAAAATCATAAGTTTGTATGCTGCATAATTTTTCGACTCTTGTACTGGAGACAAAGAAGATGAATAAAGTGAAAAAATTAGAGAGGTAAAGTACGATTTATCGTGTTTTACTTACTGACATTCACTGTATCGAGATACAACAATTCTAACATTATATCTGTTTGCTTGTAGATCACTAAACTAATAAATTATATTGAAGATGTTTTATGGTGTACAATGATAGTTTATTTGTTTAACTTTTTTTCAGGATAAAAAACTTGCACATTTGGAAACCTTAGGCCGTCTTTGCATTTCTGCTTCCAAAGGTGTATTGAAAAAGGAGGAAGAATGGAAAAGTTGCACTTTAACAAGAATATTTTTACTCTCTACTTGAAATTGCTCATCAATATCGAAAATGCAAATCAGTCATGTAAGTTGCTCGACAACAATGCTGCAGTTGAAATTAATTGTGAATTCTGCCTGTTACAATATTTATTTACAGCTCTTCGTGACTTTACAGAAAGTTCAAGATGTAACTAGAAAGACGCAAAATCCTTTTTATTTTTTTTGAAAAGTACCTAATTATAGTAGGACAAAGCTGTGTTTGAAGATATTTGGTTAACCATGCATGAGTAGATTTGGTAAGCCGGCCTTTTTGTTTCGCCTACGCCTAACACGACTGGTGATACATTGAACCGGACAAATGTATCCTTGTCGGGATACCTCCTTGTTCCGCCTATACGAGCATGTGGCCCTTTGCCGGTCCGAGAGGGGGGACTCAATACGTTTTATACGGGGAGGCTTCGCCCCGAGGTCCAACCCTTCACCCTTTTATGTATCATTTTTCACAGAAAAGGTACTCTTCTTTATTATAGTCTCCGATCTATTGCCTAATGGTACCCCTTTCACACCCACTCTGGAACTTTGTTTTCTCGACTATTTCACAGCCATGAGGTACGTCTATCAGCGCTTTAGACCTTTCTATAGCCCAAAATGACAGATTTCCCTATCCTTTTATATACCGTATTTATTCGAATAAGCGCCCAACCTCGAATTAGCGCCCACCTCGAATAAGCGCCCATCCTAAAGGCAGAAAAAGTTAATAAGCACCCAGCCTCGAATAAGCGCCCACCCCCTTACACCTACCACCCCCCAAAAAGGAATAAATACTAATAACAGACTTGCCCGAAGACGAAGTTTTCTTCAGAGTGTTTTGCAGAAACCTTGCTTTGTTACATCTTCGCGTTTTGTTGTTACCATTTACTGTTTTGTTGCAAAATATACATGTTGCACTTCTTGAAAATGGTGAAAATTTAATAAGCGCCCAGCCTCGAATAAGCACCCACCTCGAATAAGCGCCCACTCTCAAGGTCCAAAAATTTAATAAGCGCCCAGGGCGGTTAATCGAATAAATACGGTACTTCAGCCAGTGAAATCCCTACCCTTTCATATACTTTAAGCCTGAAAAAGGTACACCTTTCTGGCGGAGCCTCCCCGTATGGGCTATTATAGGGATTAACTCCCCCAGGGTAAATAGGTTTATCACTTCCATGCCAAATAGGATGAAGGCTTAAATTTGTAAAACCTAAGCAACTTGAAGAAAAAAATCATTGTAGTTTTCGGTGGGCTGAAGCCTGCTTTGACTTAAGCCGTGACGGAATCACAACGGTCCGGGACCCCCTCCCCGCCATACCTTCCCCCGGATCCCGCTAAAAAGTCACAGACAAAACAGGAGGGCAAAATTGCAAGGGCTAGGCCCTTTGTTAAAGGATGATTTATTGTACAAGATCAGCTACCCTTAGCTACCCTTACAATAAGTTGACTGGGAGTTAAACCAGCGACGTTTTTGAGCGCCGCACGTCGACCGGAAATGAGTCTTTTTCTCCTTTAATATGCCTTGACGTTACCAAATTTGTTTTGCGCAGTGTTTTTACTCTTTAAAAGACGATTTGCTCAAATATTTTTTCAAAATCAAGGCTCAAGAGTGCAAACATTCCACTTCCACTTGACGTGCTTTGCTCAAAAACTCCCTAATACGGCGACTGCACTCTCTTAACTCAATTCATCATTTTCTCTTGCTTTGCTTACCCTTACTAACATCTTCTTTGATACTTTTCGCTTGGCTTGTCCAGGCATCTTCTGTCCGTTTGAGTCTTCGTCATTTTTACCATCATCATCTTCGTCGTCGACGTCGTCGTCGTCCTCATATTCGTCGCTGGACCCTCCTGAATCTTCCTCTGAATCTGATAATACTTTAGAACATGAAATCTTTATCATCATCTTCATCATCATCATCACCATCACCATCATCATCATTATTACTTCAGCATCATATCATCATCATCATCATCATCACCATCATTATCATCATTATTACTTCAGCATCATATCATCATCATCATCATCATCATCATCATTACTTCAGCATCATATCATCATCATCATCATCATCATCATCATCATCATCATCATCATCATCATCATTACTACAGCATCATATCATCATCATCATCATCATCACCATCATCATCATCATCATTACTTCAGCATCATATCGTCATCATCATCATCATCATCATCATCATCATCATTACTTCAGCATCATATCATCATCATCATCATCATCACCATCATTATCATCATTATTACTTCAGCATCATATCATCATCATCATCATCATCATCATTACTTCAGCATCATATCATCATCATCATCATCATCATCATCATTACTTCAGCATCATATCATCATCATCATCATCATCATCATCATCACCATCATCATCATCATCATCATCATTACTTCAGCATCATATCATCATCATCATCATCATTATCATCATCACCATCATCATCATCATCATTACTTCAGCATCATATCATCATCATCATCATTACTTCAGCATCATATCATCATCATCATCATTATCATCATATCATCATCATCATCATTACTTCAGCATCATATCATCATCATCATCATCGTCATCATTACTTCAGCATCATATCATCATCAGCATAATATCATCATCATCATCATCTCATCATCATCATTACTTCAGCATCATATCATCATCATCATCATCATCATCATCATCATATCACAATTACAATGTGATGATCATAAGTTTATTTTTCAAGATCAAATATTACAAAGATGAATAATCTACGTTATCCCGCGAATAGCTATCGCACAGTTAGTTTTTAGATCATTGTTGAGATATGTACAAAATAGGTCCGTAAGAAAATCGTCTTCAGACTTTGTATGGACAAAAGTCTCTGCGTCCGAGCGGTCCTGTCACGTGACGCACAGGCAACACTTTGACTTGATAAGACTTCCCGATCCTTTCAGTAACTTTCCAACAACTATGTATATTTACGTTTAAAAATTATTAGAATCAAAAACGGAAAAAAGGATATACAAACCTTCTTTTTCTTCATGCTCCTCCATTTCCTCCACCTGTTGTGACTCGGGTCTCTTTTTCCTCCGCGCTATTCTTTTGCTTTTCTCCATTTTTTGTTCTTGTTCTTTTCTTTCCTTTTCTTCCGCTTCGTACTCTGGATCAGAGCTCTCTGTTACTTCCAGCTCAGCCTCGGCAGTGTGGAACTCATCCATGGTCAACCTAATTCTTTCCAACACTGAATTCAGCTCTTCCATCAATCTTTCGCGTTGGCGTTTCAACTGCGCTTTCTGAATCGCTGTCAATCTCATTTGTCCTGCGGCTGGGAGAAAGCCATATTCGAAGTCGGTTCCAAATCCTAGCATTGCCGATAAACCAATCCCGGTGAAGGCGGCATAGTGATCTTAAATTTGAAAGGTGGATTAAACTGCTTAAGAAGTTGTAATACAGATATAGGATAAAAACTTGTTGCACGCAGTATTCATGAGGTTGTAGTAGAAGTGGAAAAAAAAATTATCAGATGCAAAGTTGTAACCGAGCCTTTCCTTCGGCAAGCGTGTTAAAAGAAACAGAGTGCAACAACTATAAATAAAAACAAACAAAAAAATAATGGGTAAGATGCCGTTTAGCAAGTAAAACACGGAAATTTGGTATTATCGACTTGGTTAATAAACTGAATTGCCACTGTAATAGGTTGTAAGGAATCTTTTGAAGATCTTTGAGCGCCAGCACTTTGATCAAGAGTGATTCGAGGGATTGCATGGGTAGTACATCTTATGTACTTGCAGTACCCAGAAAACAAAAATAAATCACAATCCTGTATTTTTCTGTTAGTATTAAAATGTTACAAAGAGCTGTTCAAACAGATTATCTCTTAAGCACTTGTAACGCAATTTTTACCACTGTTTATAATCTTCCATCAAGCAACATATTTCGATTACTTTCTTTCCCCGTCGTGCTAATCGTTTTGCCTGAGCTGTCGTATCTTTTTTTCTTTCACTACGCCTGGGGGTTTACATCTTTTGAATACGGAAAGATTATAAAGCAGGCCCGTGGCAAGCTTTTAGAAACTAGGGGGACAAAAAGATGAAAAAGAAAAGAGAATACGGGATCAGGACCTCCCATTCAGACCCCGTTCTTCCGGTAATTACAATGAAATTACATCATTTCTCTACCTGCTAAAAATGACCCCTTTCCATCTGGAACTGGTATTGGTGTTCCTCGAACCGCTTCTACAAAGGCCTCAGGGTAACGATCAAATATGGAGCTCCGTTTTGCTAATTCTTCCGAATCTTCTTCAGAGTTTCGCAACTGTTCTTTCCTGGTTAGAAAAGAAGAGAATCAAATGTAGTCAGATCTCTTTATCACTGAATCAAGACAAGAGCTGGGTGCCCCTCTTCTAAATTTGACTGCATGGTGCCCTTAAAATAAGAGACTAAATAGACCTCTCCACGTTTTTTTTTTTCAACTTTTGTTAAAGAGCAGGATGCAAGTGAATATCCAACGACACTGCTGGAAAGATAGCCTGTGTACCGACCCTCCCTCTCCTCAGGAAAAATCCTGAGGGAGGGAGGTCTTTACACAGGGTACTGGACTGAGAGGGCTTCAAAATAAATTAAAGCACCAAGTCTAACACGTCGAAAGAGAGCGAAGATATTGCTCCACTAAGTCACAACGTTTTACCAACGTTTATATACTTGCCCCCAACACACAAACGTCTGTAAAATTCTGCGTCTTTGCCGAGCTAAATCTTCGTTAGTTTTCAACAAATCACTTTCAAACTCGGCAGCTTTACTGAATTTAAGTCGTTCTTTCCATTCGTGTTGACGAATTTTCGCTGTCTAGTCCCAGTAAAAAGTTAAAAAAAATACGGAGAATGGTCTATTCAAAGAGGGACGTATTTGAGTCTTCCGGGACACATAGGCTAAAGTGTAAAGAGACGCTCGCCTATCAAATAAGCAAGACAATCACACGCTTGCCGCGTGGGTAGTTGTTACCTTAATGGTTTTATGATCTTCTCCTCGGCTGGATTTTTCTTTTTATCCGTCATTTCTGCTTTAAGAGAATTCCAATTTACCCTTACAAAGTTGAAACATGAGCAAAAGGCAGTGAAAAGATAGATGACGTCATAATGGTGTCCTTTACATCTTTAGGCTTGCACGCGCATGGAAGGTTTTTCTAATAATTTTGTATAATAAGTTAATTTGTGTTCTACAATCCTTGGTGTTATTCAAAGCAGTGTGTGCTTAAACAAATTTTTATTTGATTCTGCGATTATGATTTTTTAAAATTATCGTCGACAACAACTCAAATTGCATTCTGAATCCAATTTCAGGCTTACATGACGCACTACCCGAATTTTGGTTTATGAGGGGGCAGATCGTCAGATCTGGTCTCCGTTTATGAGCATGCTCTATATGGCAAACCACTTTTAGATTTAACTTTTAGATTGAGGCTGCAATAGACGCCCTGGTAGGCTCGGTTTCCAGCCGTAGGTGTCTCGATGCGTGCGTAATTCTCTCCACCTTAGTGGCGATGAGAATAGCGCGCGCCATCGGATAAATCACTCTTAAACGAATAAGTATTAGGGAAACGATGCCAATTATTTCTACCACTGGATAGCATCACCTTTCTTTTGAACAACTGGGGCCAGATTAAAAACAAAAGCTCGCAAACAAACAAACAAACAAACAAGCAAATAGGCTATTAGAACCGAGAGGATGATGATAGACAAAGCAGATAGATCTTTTCTTTGATTTTTTTTTCAGACAGGTTTGAAAACCTTCGCCGCTTATAGCAGGAAACGTTTCTTCATTCAAAATATTATACTCTGGTTTTCACAGAAACTTCCATTGCCCACTGGGCAGAAGAACTTCGCACCCCCCCCCCCCAAAAAAAAAAAAAAAAAACGCCTGATCGCAGGTTATCCCACCCCCATCCTAGCTATTGTTACAAGATTTCGTCTCTGAGGAGAACGATGATGAGAGCGAGTTAGGGGTAAAAGTAGTATGTTTCTGATCGAAAGTGAGTGGAAGAAATAACAAATTGCAGGAGCCCATCATGATGATGGGCTCCTGCAAATTGGCAATAAAAAGCAAGAGGCTCTTTTGATTCAGTAGAAAATCTTTGTCATGTATTAACATAATTTCTGGGGCAGCGCCTGCATAATTTTCATATTTTCTTTACTTTCAATGATAATGTATGACTTGAATTGCTGACATTTCGCGGGCTCGGTCTGAAAATAAACAGCATGTTAATGAAGTGGAGAGACTCTCGATAAGGTTGCATGATCGACCAGGAATGCTGATATGACGCGAAGGTGTTAAAGAATACAGCGATATTGCGGGACTAAATGGAGTCAAAATATTGTTGAAAGAGGAAAACATATTTTTAAAGTCAAGAAATGGCGAGTCACTACTCGGCGGGTCGAGACGACTCAAGCGAGAAAGTTAGTCTGATGAGTGAGGACGACTCGCCATCCAGTTCTCCGACTCGCGTAAATCGAAAGAGTTTGGTGATTGTATTCGGGGTTACTGTGGTGGCAGTGGCATTCGTGATCTCTGCAGTAATAGTATCCATCTATTCTGGTAAGAGATGACTTTTCTTTTAGCTGCCTTTGTAAAGGTGTGCTTTCAGGAGGCGTTTAGTAGCGATCATTTGACGTAGAGTCGCGGACCGCCGACTTTAATTATGGAAGCCAATTCAAGGCAGCTGTTCTTGTAAATGATGTTTTCCTTTAAATTGGGATAAGGTTTCCTCAATATCTTAAACAGAACAACCTCTAGTTGCCATTTTTAGTTGTTTGAAAGTATTGGAGGTGTAATGTTTCGATTGACCTCTTCTAAAACTGTCCTATTTGCCTGTTTTAAGGTTTTAGCGACCTGTTTTTCGAGCGGTCTCTCCTGTCAACGATCTGTACCCTCGATTAAGTTAAGTCATTAGCGTTAAGGGGGATCTTTTCAGTCTATTTTTTCTCCTTTCTCCTTAACCTCTGGCTTATTTTTCTGAAGAAAAAAACTTAGAGCGTTGTTGAATTTAATCGCTTCCTCACTCACGTCGATACACTGGGGATATCATATTACTTGTAAAAAATCTTGCTTGCTTGACTTTGATTGTAAACAATTTCCTTATGGTTCGAAACACCTGCTTCTTGTATTTTCCCCGGGAAAGATCAATTTATGATCCAAACAATGTCAAAATTCTTCAAAGACTTGCTTTTAATCGAAGCATTGAGTGTGTTTGACAATTATAACGGGTAGCTGGCATGAACGATTTATTTTTTAGAAAACGATAAATTGAATAAATTTTGGTAAGATTCGTTGCCGGTTCCCGCATTAATTAACACCAAATCGAATTTGTAGGTTTCGTTAAATACTTGTGTTTAATTTGGTATTTTCTCTGACTTTAAGTTTCAATCAAGTTTTAAACTTAACATCTTAAATTTGGGGGAAAAAAATGACGTACGTATTAAATGTAGTATGTAATGTACTTGAGTTAGAGTCAGTTGAAGTGTATTTTTATACTCCTGGTTTTCATTGTGTGGGCTGTAATTTGTGCATTTGCATGATAACATACAATATTTTTTCTTTTGCGAACTAGGAAACCAAAAATAAGTGGGAAAATGCCAAAGCAATATAACACTAAACTCTTTGAAAAGCACCCTAGGCATTGAATATTATGTGAAATAAGTAACAAGGGATGTGTTAGGTTGGCAGGGAAGGGTAAATTTGAAGGGGGTGTTTGTTTTGATGTTTTGTGAGAAAAAAAAGTCCTACGAATTCTTTACAGGATGTTTCCATTCAGGCAAGAAAATTTTTTAAAAAGTTCATGGTTAATTTAATTAACCCTTTCAGGCCTAATGAGAGCCAAAGTTGAAACAATCACAAAGAAATTTATTGTTTGTTAAAACCTGAAATATTAACAGCTTGTACAAGCGCCCTACCAAAGAGGTTTCTTTTGAACAACTTTGATTAATTGGAGCAGGGAAAAAAAAGTAGGGAAAATAAACTAATCAATGCAAGGGAGGCAAAACAAAAGAAACAAGAAAAAGTTGAGAAATTACATTACTGTAACAAATTGTTCAATGCCCATGTAAAGGAAAATATTTTTCTGTTTTTTTTTTTTCTCTTCCAGGCAAAGGTGGACCATTTTCCAACAAAGTAGCTCGTAGCTCAGATAGATTTACATTTGATGATATTTTTAGTGGTAGATTTTCTCCTGCTGGGTATTCCTGTCAATGGGTATCAGGTTGGTATCATTTTTCAGTCAAATCCAGTTAATTGAGACACACTGTAGGGGGCCATAGAAAGTTTCCATATTTAGGGGGTGTTTGTCTTATGCTGGTCATGTCATTAAAGAGGCCATGCCGTAAATTCCGGCAAGCGATATGACCCGAAAAGGAGCGACAGCGTGTGAATAGTTTTTTTCCTTCAGAAGGAATGCTCTATTGTAGCATAAGGTATCTACATTAACGAGGTTGCCTTTCTATGAGAATCTACTGTCCATTGTCTGCATTAATGGTTTCTGTATTAAGCAGGTTGAATTCACAATTTGGCAAACCAAGGTCACGGAACATGTTTCTCCTTCTTACCTTGTGTACTTTCATTGTTACTCTAAACCCCTCCTTGCTTTTCCAGTTATGGTAACATTCTAAAGGTAAGACCCTCTCCGTACAAAAGACTCTATCCTAGAACTTGCCAAAAAGTCTCTTATCATAAGCAAACGGTTTATTTTTAGGCGTTGCCCTCAAATTATTGACAAAATAAAAGAAATAAAAGGACAAAACTCTTCAATCAAGCCTTTTGTAAAACAAAAATTTCATGCATTAAACCCATTTTGACGACAAGTGTTCAAGTTATTGCCATTTGCTTCCATGTTGTCAAATGCATATTAATTTTCAGTTTACATCTAGCAGTTTATCAAGGCTTTCCCTTCATTAGTTTAAAGTGTCAGAGAAGTAATACCTGTTTAATTGACAATATTAGACTTTGACTAACATTATTTCCGTGTCCTTTTCTTTCTTAGATGATGAGTATATTACTTCTAAACCTGAGGGACTAGTGTTAATAAATTTAACCAAAAATAAATCAGATATTTTGCTCACTCAGGATGACAAGGTGAGTGTCATTTCTTTCACTAAAAAGCTCAGACTATGACATGGTCAATAACAAGGCACTACTTTGCTGCTTTTTTGTGTTTACAGTTTCTATAGAAACTGAAACACTATGCCATCATGTCGTGTCTGTAATGTCTGTAACATGCCTGTAAGTAGAGAAAGCGATAATTCTGAAGGCCAGATTCCAAACACTCTTTGGTTCAGTTTGCAAATTTAAGGAGAGTCTTTAATGCTCTATTTGTTTTCTAGTTTAAAGAGACTTTGAAAAGTCGTAATTGTGATCATCGGCATGCTGGATGACATGAAGGTGAAGTGTGACCTGTTGAGTCAGAAGAAAATTGTTTTGCTCGAGACAAAGTCACGCTTCATTTAATGCTAGTCATCGGCATGCTATGTGACTGAAGGTGAAGCGTAACTTAATGCATCAGATAAATTAGTATTGCCTTGTGCGTTGAAAATTTTTTCTCTCATGCGAGAAATCATGTTCTCTTTTCTTGGACAAAACAGATTACGTTTCATGTTTTTATGACATAGCAAGCCCATAAAAACGCAAGTGCACAACAGACATAACAAAAATTGTAAACACATGCTCTCTTTAGAGAGCTATTTTTAGCATTGTACATGGCTATCACCAAGAAGCAGGGGTGAGGAATTTTTCCTGGCTACTAAGAATGTGGCCCTTGGCTACTTTCCTAGGAAAATAATAAAAAAAGTGGAATCAAAAGAAACCCTTACTAGCTGTTTGATTCCCTGCCTACTTGTTGTAAATACCCGGCAACTTGACGTCTTAGTGACAGCCGTTGTAGTTGTACGTTTGGGTATAAAAGTAACAAGGCCTCTAAACGGACCTTTTTACTTTGTTGATTTTGACATAATTTTTTCCCATGATAATACCAGTAAGGTTGTATGTAAGGGAGATTTTGTTTGTCCTTACAGGATCATTTTGGGATCTCAACTCACTGGTTTTCCCCTGACAGGCAGTATATTTTGTTTACTAAACATTATAAACAGGTGAGGTGTAGTTTTTTATTGTGTGGTTGTAAGTCAGTGCAATAGATGGATAACGAATAAATTTGTTATCATCATCTTCATCATCATCCAAGATTTATGTTCTAATGCTTCTCTTGCTGTATTGATGAAAGCCTGAGTAAGAATCACTAACAATAATAATGTATTTATTGTAATATTGTTTCATTTCTTTTTTATCTCCAGCAATATAGGTATTCTTTCTGGGCAGAATATCATGTGCTTGACATGGCAAAAAAGTAAGCATGTCATTATATCAATTTATTTTGCTACCTTGATGCCTGTGGCCTGTAGTGTGCTGTGTCTTCCATTGTTATTTGCCCTTATCTTTTCTTTGCTCTTCCCTTGTCATGAAATGGACTCCAGTTTATCATATTATACGTATATATCATCGTCATTATTGATGCTCAAAATACTGGAAATTGCTTTTTGTAGCTTCTAGTTTTCTGGCGGAACAGGCCTATGGATCCTCTCATTCCCTAATATTAGCAGCTGCTCATCGGAAAAGTTATTAAAATCCCTGTCCTTGTCATTGTACAATGACTGATTTTCTCTCCCTATCCCATTTTTCCAACCATACAGTCACCCGTCAGTTTCTCTACCCTCCCTCCCCTCTCTGTCCAGTTCCAGTTCCAGTTCCACTATACTTCTCCATTTAGCAATCCTTTTGCCATGGAGTTGCACTGTTGAATTGACGTTCAAGTAAAGCAGGGAAGCCAGCTTTCACTTACGTGCTGCTCTATGCTTGTTCAATAGAGATGTTCTGCACTTTTGAGATACCATTTTACTGATCCAGGGGTGCCTTTGGTATGCTGCTTCGGTTTTGCAAAAAGCATCTTCTTTGTCAACATAGCATTTGGACAACAACAACAAACATGGCCAATATAAATGAATTCCCTTTTGTACCTGTTGAATTCAGGTTAAAATTCAAAAATTTCACCTGAATTTAATTTTGACCTGTAACATACCCATGACTCACCCTACTCCAACTGCCATGTTCATTCACCTTTTTTGATAAATTGTATCTTTTCTTGCAGAACTACAACTCAATTAAAAGCTGGTATAGAGGGAGAAGATCCAACTAAAATACAGTATGCAACTTGGGGAGAGAAATCAAATGCTTTGGTAGGAAACTGATGCAGGCTAATCTTGAAAATAACTTGAGTGTTTGCAGCTTATCCTTTCGGCTACCTTGCGAGTAGAGGCTACATTTCCGACAACTGTTCAATTTTCTATCGTGCACGCGCTAAATTTGTCATGTGATTCGCAAGCAAAATTAATCGTCAGGTTTGTCGTCAAATGGCGCAAGTATCAGGGAATAAAAAAATTGTGACAACTTTGATCTGCAATGCAAGACTCACACAAGACTCTCACAATGCTCTAAACCGGTCAAGAACAGGAAAAAACGTTTTTTTAAAATCTATTTGTCCAGATTTCTGGATGGATTTGAACGGTTGTTGGTAGAGGCTACTTTTCGCATGCCAGCTCACACAGCAAAAATGTAGCCTCTGCTTGCAGGGTACCTTTGGGCAGGCAGCTCTCACATTATGCTTGCCCTGAGCCACTTCTTGCTCATCTTAGTTAACCGTTTAAGTCCCAAGAGTGACCAAAGTCAATTTTCTCCCAACAAAATCAATACATAATCAAAGGAAAATGTTGTGAGAATCAATAAAATAATCACATGATGGGAAAAGCTTTGATATGCAAACAAGTTCTCTTAACCAATTCTTCCAGGAAATGTATGGAGATCAGTCTGGAGAGTTTGTAGTTGGATATTGGGGATTAAAGGGTTAATAATAAAGGGGTGAACTTGCTTGGATCCTTGCCCTTTGGACAAGTAAGCTATAAAATTTATCCATTTGTCCTGGACTAACGGGTGGGACTTTTTTTGAGCCCTGCTTCTGGGTTGCCACCTCAAGGGAGGACATGGAAAGCAAAGCTTTTTTAATGTCAGAAACAGCTAAGAAGCATACAAAGTGGGACCTGCAATTATTTGCTTATTAAGAGTAGTTCCCTTAAAGGATTGGTAGAATGCAAAGCTAAGCAGAAATTAATGCACAGATAGATATTTTTTTTCTACAAATTCAAGGGGTGCTCTGTAGATCATGCGCTGGATTGGGTGAAACTCTCATGGGATCATTGAATCGCAGTTGACCTTGAGTATTGCGACAAGTTTGGTCAGCCTCTCAATAACTAATTGATAACATACATTTTGGCCATAAAAAACCATGGAGCATCTTGGTTCTTTGCCAGTGAAAAAATAATCATCAAGTAGCAAACATTTTAATCCAACTAATAAAAAATTCTACTTAATTCTGTGACATACTGTGGAAGATCAAAGCTGAAAACTAAAGAAGCCTCCTAAAGAAGCCAAAGAACAATGGGAAATGCAAGGGAGGTCTGGGATTTCTTTCTGCAGTGCCTGATAGCCATAGTATATTCATTGTATTTAAGTGTGTCATTTATAATATTATATATTGATGTAATTCTCGAACTTACTATCTTCATTGTAGGTTTTTGTTTATGCCAATGATATTTTTTACATGGAGTCACCGTCAAGTTCTGTTGTGCAGTTAACGCATAGTGGAGTAGAACATAAGATCTTTAATGGAGTTCCTGATTGGGTTTATCAAGGTAATTTACACCGTTCATCTCAGTTAATTTTCTAGTTTTTACTATTATTCCATTCAGCAACAAACTTTCTATCTGGAAGGTAAAATTTTCAAAAGCGTCCAAGACATGTAATTAATAGTAGAAACCTGTAAAGCTTCCATTTGTTTTTACTTTCACTACGTTTTTCAGTGAATTTGATTTGAATTCCTGTTAACAACCTTTTTTACCACTATATTTTCTCCATGAACCATTCTTCGTTTCTGTTGCGAGTTTAAGTTAGCCAGGAGCTGCAATGTTTCAATCCAGTATTTTGAAAGACCTCACTTAACCCCCCACGTCTCCCCTCTGCAAGGAAATACTGTGATAACATTTCAAGACTTTTGTTTGATAACTTGCAATCTTACATCAGGTTTGTCTTTTTTTCAACAGAGGAGGTGTTGAATTCAGACCACGCCCTCTATTTCTCTCCTGATAGCCAGTTCCTAGCATATATTCAGTTTAATGACTCAAAGGTCAACTGGTATCAATTTCCTTGGTATGGAGACAGGAAGAATGCCTATACCACCATAAGAAAAATTGCTTATCCAAAACCAGGATATTCAAATCCCACAGTAAAGGTGTTTGTTATTGACCTCAAGAACAATAAACGGGTCCAGCTGCCTGAGCCATCAAGTTTCAAGGACATGTGAGTGTTTTCATAGATTTTCAGCGATTATTTAATGGCACCTTGATGTTCTCTTTATGTTTTCAACTGCCCGCCTTGATTAGCCAAGCTAACATCAAGCCACTGGAAATAGATCTCTCTGCATGCTACTTTCTCTGGGATAAGTTGTTGTAAAGTAGAGTTGTAATATTTTAGCTGGCCCTTCAACAACATTCCAGTTAATTCTTTCAAGTGGGGAGTCATGTAGACTATCTGAGGGGTCACCAGCGTGCAAAGAAAGTAGTGTCCCATAGCCTGGGGTTAGTGGATTTTGCTATCGGGCTAGTGAATTCTGTTCTTAACTTGCCTGACTGGCAAGTGAAGTATTTTGAGGAATTCAACTTACAGAAGAACTGTGAAATCAATTCTACTCATCAAAAAATTTTGGGGCTAGTTGAAATGACGTTTGGGCTAGTAAATGTTAGCTTCAGCTTGCCCGAATGGCAAGCTGTAAAAATGACTTTCTTTGCGCCCTGGGTCACCCAGACCACTAGATAATTTTTTTTGTTATATTTACTTAACATTTATATTTCATCTGTTAGGCCAGGAAGCCTTCATTGTTGGGTCACTGACCCAAGACCCATCTCTTATCTTTGACACTGCCTTGAAACTTGACATAAAATTACGTATTAAGTTTTAGTGTTCTTTCTATTTACAGCGATCATTATGTAGTGAATGTAGGCTGGGTATCAGAAAAAGCTGTTTCTGTTAACTGGCTCAACAGAGACCAGAATGAAGCTATTCTCCATATATGTGAACAGCAGTCAATTCACTTCATGTGTAAAGAAGTAAGTCCAGCGTAATATTATTATTGTATTTTGTATTTTATTTTTACTCCATCCTATAGATAATACATTAGTTGTGCAATAACAATTAGTACAAAATTGATTAAACTACGTGTACACAATAAAAAAAAGAAAATTAGAATGGAGAAGGGCACATTATAGAAAACTAATTATGGGCATTAAACGAGATTGACTTTATTCTAATATAGCTTTGTTATTCATTAAAACACAAACATGCACGCATGCACACACACACGGACACAAGTCAATATTGAGCAAGATAATATTTTTTAAGTGCCTCTTTGAACAGAATTTTCGATGATTTATTGCGAATAGAAAGGGGGAGATCATTCCAATAATATTGTCCTGTTGAATCGTTTCCAGGCAGTCCTTCACGTCTTGCTTCTTTCCTTTCTTTGACATATTCAAATAAAAGACACTAACAGGAACTCTTACATGAGAAACTAAATTATTTAAACACACAAAAAAGGAAACAAAATCAAAACTAGCCAGCTTCAAAAGACTGCTCGCCCGGAATTATTGGATAAGGCTGAGTATAATCTGAACCCTTCCAGATCTACATAAATAATATCTCAAATAATATCTTCGCGGAAATGTAAGGAGATCTCTCTAGAATATGGGTATGTCGATATGGGGGTTAATATCATGGGTGATAAATAATATTACTCCCTAATTTTTGTGTAAAATTTCAGCATTAATTTAAAATTCCATGTGTGAAATTACAAAATTGCTATGGCAATGTTCCGGAAACGTTTCAGTGTCAAGGTTTTAAATGTTATGAATAAAGATCTCAGGGCAACAAAACATGCTTTGGGAAACCTTAATGCACAAAAGAGCCCATCAAGAAGGATTCTAACAGTATATTGTTGAAAAATTCAGAAATTACAGAACTTAAGCCCAAGTTTATACTTTTCCTCTTCTTGTAAAGCAAAAGTTTAGTATTAAAATATATCGCATTTTGTTAACATTTAGTTACGTAATTTTGTAATTAACCAACCATTTAAAGACTACGAATTCGCATCTACGAGTTTTTGCATCTTAGCAGATAGGTCAGGGTAGGCGGAATTTTAAATTGCATACAAGTGAACTCATTCTGTAGAAAACGTTACAGTCAAGAAGACCTTTGCAGGGACTGATCAAAGGACATGAAATAGAGTTTAGTTGCGATATTTCGACTGGCCAATACCAGTCTTCCTAGGTTTATTGAGATATCATGAATAATTTACAGAAATATATATGATGTATTTTTTAAAAATTATGGCCACAACTAACTAAATGAACGTCAGAAACATAAGGAATACACCATCGCCTCTGCCTCAAATCGAAGCGGAGTCTCATTCGCTACAAATTTCAGCTATGTGACGTCTCTAACTCTTAAAATTAGCCAAACCCTCATCTTAGCTATGAGAAGCCGAGTGGAAGTTTTAGTGTCTTGGGTACCCCAAAAGATGTAAGTAAGGTCTAAAACAGTGCCACATACCTCAGGCTCCTGTTAACGTATTGGCAACAAGGAGAAGAATCTGTCATAAGATATAATAAACAAGAAGAAACCCTGCATTGTGAGCATAATTTGTCAACCCTGATATTGATTGGTAATCAAATGGTATAATCTTGGAATTAGAGAATAATTTCATGTGTATTTTGTCCAAATTCTTATGATTATTACAATTTGGACAAAATGTGCACGTCATCACTTGATTACAAATACTGCATGTAATAATGGATCATACTTACATGTGTATCGACCTTTTTTTGTATGATGATAGTGGTTATGGTGATGATTGAAGGCAGGTTTTCACTAGTGACAGAGTTGGAGTCAGAGTCACAATCAGAAGCATAGAGTAAAGATCTAGTGAAAACAGCGCTCTGGTTCTGCTTACGACTCCGTCGCTTACATTCTGCTTATGATCTAGTGAAAACTAAATTGTCAGAGTCGGAAGCAGAAGCGGAAGAACTAAACCAATCACAAAGCATGGGAACGTGCATTGTGATTGGTTTATCCTTCCCCTTCTGCTTCCGACTCCTACAATCTGGTTGTCACTGGATTATAAGCGGAACATGAGCGACTGAGTCGTAAGCAGTGTCGGAAGAAATGGAAACGTTCTGATTCCTCTGACTCCGATTCCGTTGCTCTTATGACTCTGCTTACGACTCCGATTTTTGATTTTCACTAGGTCATAAGCGCTCTTACCACTCCGCTTACAACTCTGGTTCCGTCACTAGTGAAAAAGCAGTCTTAGGAAAGCGGAGGATGACTATAATGACATTGTTTATGGACAGTGTACATTATTAAATCCTTTATTTTTATTGTTTTCAGAATTCCAAGCTGACTGTTAAGGGTGGCTGGGTGGATGATAAGGTGAGATGTCTTTTATTATATTTTTTAAGCCTCAGGGTAAGTTTCACCGTTGTCAGATATTTTCACTGTTGTCAGATATTTGCGCCTTATAAGTTTTGAAATTAATTAATTAATTAAATTTGGGTTCATGGAGTAGGATTAATTCAACCTTACTGACAGGGTGGATCTTGTGAACTATCTTACAAAGTCTCTTTGTCAGTACCATGGGAAATGTGTGTAGAACAGTATGGAAGTCGATATTGTTGCTAAAATGGTGTTCTTATTTTATGTTGGTAGCACGAGATAGTCATTTGAGTGTGTAACAAACCTGAGGCTGATAGTGTGTTCATTTTAACCCAAAGATTCCAACCCTGTCAACTAAAAAAGTGGAGGTTTTAAGAGTGGCATAGCCACTCCTCTTGAGCGCCAAATGTGCTAGCCTCTAGTGGGCCTGGGGCCATGCTCTCCCACCTCTAAGATGCCATTTCCTGCATTTTGAAATCTCATTCAATGCAAATACTGCCCTCAAAATTATCGCAGTCTCATAGTTGGATGCCAAAAGGGTAATAACATCTGAGAAACCACAGAAAATTGGCAAAGAAGCGCACTACAAAAACTGGTTAAATAAAGAAATGGAAGAGTTTCAAACACTGGGAGAATACTAAGCCAAAACAGGAGGCTGTAAACATTTGCCATTAAAAGTGGAGGTTTCCGACCAAAGCGGAAGGGCTGGAATCTCTGTTACCCTCCCCCCTCTCCATTACTGCTCTGTTTTATGGGTATTTTAAAAAGCTACTTCAAGCCACATGGAAAAGAAAGAATTGGAAAGAAAAATTGGAGGTGACACCTGAGAATCGAATTTGGCACCTACTGTCCTGAAGGCTGTACACTAACCAACTGTCACAATCCTTCCTCCTAGTGCTGATTTTAGGGTTTTCTCTTATCTATGCTTAGTACACCACACCTAAAGCCTCCAAAGATGGCTCATACTACATCACCCCCTGGCCATTTCCACAAGGCTCTGAAGGAGACTTTATTCACATAGCAAAGATGCGCATGAATCCAAAGGAAGGTGTAAGTAGAAATGATCTAATACAAGCTGCGGATAAAAAACAATTCTGAACTTTCCACACAGGATTAAACCGTTTAGCACTTAAAGAATGGGAGGAAAACTTGGCCAAGTTGATTTTCACAAAGGCTTCTGTGATAGTTGCTCAAGACTTTCTAGTCAGCTATTGGCTGATTTTTTCACAAAACTTTACAAAACTCAACAATACTAACATCAATGTATAATCTTAGGAATCTTGAAACTGACCTAGCACTTCCAAGGCCAAAGACTAATTTCCTCAGGCGTAGCTTTAAGTACATTAAGTGCATTATTAAAATGCAAGATTTTCTATTCACATTTTATCTGTGTTCTTAAGGAACGGCAAACTCCAGAGGCTTTGACAAGTGGACCCTGGGAAGTGTTAAAGATTCTTGCGCATGATGATATGAATGAAATAGTGTAAGTGAACCATATAAGCTCCAATAGTAATGGATTCTGTTTGGTAACAGTATAATAAGATAGCCTGCATCCCTGTTCAAAAGTTGGATCACTGGATAAATCTCCATTCAGTGGATAACACCTATCCTTTGGACAGCGTTTCATATAGTGGATAGCGCTATCCAATGTTTGAACAACCTGGCACCTGGTACATATGTGGAGAACCTGAACAAGGATTTTGGAGCTGTTTTAGTTCCATCTGTGGCACAGGCTATCAATCAGATAGAATTATTTACTACTGGAATATTCTGTGTAGCTGGTTTTAGCAGTCTCTTCTTAAATTACTGTAAGGCTGTCCTTGGTAGTGACATCCCACATAGAAGTTGTGCATGGAGAGGAATTTGTACTTCACTAGTTGCCGTGAATAAGACCGCCCTTTGAGACAGTTGAACACTAGCAATAAACATGGTGTTTGCATAAATTTATGTCTGTTGTAAACTTTAATAAATTATTGTAACTTGCATACAGGTACTTCTCTGCAACAAAGGAATCACCAACAGAGTCACATGTGTACAGGTTTGTTAGAAATTTAAGATTGTTAAGATTATTAAGTTACATTTGTGCAAAAAAATACTCATTGACTCCAATCCTCAGATATATTTGCAATGACACAAAACATGTGATAAAAATGATGTTGGCAATGTAACATTTGACCTGATTAGTTTACTTGCCACCAATCACGTTATTTCTTATAATTTATTATTGCAATGGCAAACAGTAAAATAGCTCAAACAAATGCAAATATTTAAAATTACTGAAGAAATGGCAACGTTCTGTGATTATCCAGGAGATTTCAGACTCTAAACTGGAGACCAGGAGATACGGTCCCAGGGCTCCAAATAACGGCCGGTCAACGGACAATGTCCGGCCTGATCGTGGGCTTGACCGGTCAAACTCTCGTCTGGCCGGTCATTTTGACCGGTCATTTTTGGATGCTTGTCGCTTAATGCGTTTTGCTCTATAATGCTGTAATTCGCTGCTTTCTTTGGCTTTTTTTGCTGCTTTGCACTAAACCCTTTAAAGAAAAATGTTCTGCTTTGCTGTGATCAGTAATGCGACCTTCTTTGGGAAAACATTCGCTAACAATAGTCTGTTATTTTTTAGAAAACTAAAGGATGAGTGACAGTTTTTGTCCATCAAACGTTTCACATCTACTTGTAACAGGATTGTGAAAATCACCTTCGACGGGATTCGGGCTAATTGATCGCTCGTCCTGTACTGTTTCTCTGGGAATAAATTTCAGCGCATCGATTAATTATAAAATTTCTTTATGTCGAACATAATCTCATTTGCAGACTCGATTCCAGAATTGTCTGATAAAAACTAAGCTAATCGAGAACGAACGTCGCCTATCTCTGCTATATCGGCACTTAAAATCCTCCTTCTTGATAAGCCGTTCGCAATAAAGTGTTGCGCGACGACCCAAACGAAAGCTCTCCTGTATATTTATTGACTTCTGATGACGAATACCCTGTCTGCGGAACAAATTTCTTGCCAAATCAACTTCTTTGCCGCAAATATTTAGCGACGAAATTCTTCTTTGTGGAGGAGACTTTCGATCATGTGCCGGGCAACGAAAAGGATCAAGTTTCACCGATATGCAGATATAGGACGAACCTTGGAGACTTCCGACACCGCCGTACGATGATGCTGAAGGTATATATAAACAGACATAAAACGGGCGAAAATCGCGGAAAGGAACTCAACAACGTGTGAATGAATTTTTCACCAACTTGGCGGCAAAAACTCGAACGACAATGCTGTACTGCCAGCGTAATTCGATATTCCATGGGCAACAAAGTAATTACAATATTCATTAATTTGACCGGCCAAAATCGGGGTTTGTCCGGGCTAAAAAATATTTGGCCGGTCATCATGACCGGCGACCTGCTGTCCGTTATTTTGAGCCTTGGGTCCAAATAGCTGGAGTCTCCTGGATTGTCTGAGAGAGTTGACAGTACTGCAGTGCATTGATGCCTTCATTCTCTAGTATAAATAAGCATGTTTGCAAACCTTGTTTTGATATTAGAAAATTTACTTACATAGACTAATTTGTAGCTTGCTGCATGCTATTTCTTGCAGTGTTGACATAAGAACTACAGAACTCAAATGTCTGTCTTGTAATCTACCAACACTTAACCGTAAGTATGAGCATTGAACCTCAATAATTATCCAGGGTGCGTAGCATATGTTTTTCATGAAATAACTAAGATTTCCTAATGCAGGGCTGTCAATAAGATTTTAAGTTGCTAGGTAAATACAACAAGTAGGCGGAGAATCAAAGAGCTAATGATTTCTTTTGGTTCTATTTTTCTTCTGCTTTCCTATGAAAGTAGCCAGGGGCCACGTTCTTAGCCACCGGGGGAAATCCCCAACCCCCACCACTTAATGACAGCCTTGCTAATGAGTAAGGCAGCAGGGGCCACAGGGCTCTGCTAGTGCACAGTTCTACAGCTCAATTTATACAAAGACAAAAGTGGCAAGGGTGGTGGGTCGGGGTTCTGGAACTCCTTAAACCCTCCACAGGGTACACCCTGGTCACATGACATCACTGGGCCAGCTCAACTGTAACTGTGTGCACTGGTTGAAGCTTTAATATTGTCACTTTTAACAAAACCTTGGTATTTAGACAATAATCATTCCTCCCAAAAATTAATTCATATTAATTTATTTGTTTATTTTGTTGTAGCTGGAAATAAGTGTTCCTATTATGGTGCAAGTTTTAGTTTGAAAGGAAGCTGGTACACTTTACACTGTAAAGGTAAATAATAATCATCCAAAAATGATCATCTACTCTACATCAATTAATTATATCCTTAATATACACCAAGTCTGCTGGAGTTGCAAGTAAAGCCCCTTATAATGGCATAATTGATATGAAAAAGAGTGAAGATTGTTTGAAAGCACTTGTACTTGCACTTGTTGTTGTTTGCTTTTATGCTTTTTCGCCATTGATATCTTTAGACAACAATTTAAACGTTTGATCCCAATAATTTCACTCTGTATTTACTGTTCTCTGTCCAAAATGCATGGCCCGTAAAAAGAAAAGCTGTGTATACATTAGTACTTTTCTATATATATTTATTCATTTTCTTCACTGGATGGGAACACAACTTGCGTACGTTTTAAAACTACTTATTTCATTTTAGTAAACCTTCAAACAGTGGCAGGTGGTAAGAAGTGTTGCTTCAGGCAGTAAATTTTACCAGTTTCCGCCTGATAAGGAGAACACTGCTTGTCGCCATCCTGTTTGGAAATGAGGACAACAAAACATTTTGTCACCCTATGTATAGTGTGATGGCCAGTCATAGTTGGTAGATATCACTTTTCTGGAAACTGATTAGTTTGCTTTACATTTTTTTTTAGGTCCAGATATACCAGAAGTAACTCTACGCAGTACACAGAAGGACCCTGAAGGTAGAGAAATTTGTCAACTTAAGCAATATTTGCCTGGGGCATGTGAAGGTCCTGTGGTACAAAATGTAACTAAATTAGTAAAGGTATATTGGCTAGATAGAATAACTGTTAACTGTGACAAAAGATCGATCGAATTGCACCAATCTCATTTAGAGTCTTCATAGCCAATAACATCACAGCTTAATTCCATCACGACTTAATTGGCCAATTAAAGCAATCATGACCAGGTCAATAAGCAGAGCTAAATACCATCAACTGACGTGATACAACTCACTTTGACTCTGAAGATGTCACTGATAATTATGTTATCTTCTCTCAAATGAAGATCTCTGGAGCTTAGGTGATCTGACGCATGTCTCTGTGTGCTGTACAAACAGAGTAATGGATTAGCCACTTACGAATGCGACAAGTTTCAGAGAGAACAGAAGAGCAGAATGGACATCAGGCTCTAGTCTCTCAGTCATCGATTTGAACAGCCACGTTGTACATGTGATTATTATAAGAACTCTTTTTACCCTAGGACAATTGCACAGTGGAACAATCTCCCACCAGAAATTATAGCATCTACTTCACCATGTTCATTTAGGCAATCCCTGTAATTGTTGTAATTCTTATTATTTAAAGCAGACTGCAATACTCTGTTAAGAGTGAAGACTTATTTGTGAAATAAATAAATAAGATAACTACCGCAGAGGTTGTTGGAATTTCAGGGAGTGTTGCAAAAACCCCATTCAGAACTACACTTACTTGGATGATCATATTTCACCTATACTTATTAAATGACTCCTGGTTTCATACCATTCACAGTTTTTCAATGTTTACTCTGTTTATTTATTCTTGTAAACCAGTCGTAGTGCCACTTCAATACAACAGAGATTTAATGGACAGACTCGATGGAGTTAAATTGCCAGGAATAAAGACATACACTGTCGAAAATGGAGATTATGGTAGGTGTTTCTATTGTCATATCATACTTGTTCATTAAAAACTATGCAGACAAAATTGCCAGTGATAGTAGATGAGCACCCTGGGATAATAATCTTCTTTGCATCTGGAGGAAATCCCTTTGATATCTTACAATAGCCTGAATTTCAGACATCTCTTTGAGTTGAATCTCTTTATTGAGTATGTGACTCAAAAGGGATGTCTGTAATTCAGGCTAATCGTACAAGTGTGGTTGGTTTGCTATTGAAGACAAATTAATCCAGATGAACGGCGACCTTGATTCAAATTTTACTTTTTATACTTTAACATCCAAGCAATTTGTGTTTGGCTCCAATAGTAAAGTAATTGAAAGATGCATTGGCCAGAACATAATATTTCCACCTCCTTTCACACAGCATAAAGTTTATTTGTAGTTCCTCTGTGGAAGAAATTATTGGGCAGAGAGAGAAACAAAAATTTCCTCATCTTTGTATCTTTGTATATGAGAGTAAATTCACTTCTGATGATAGATAATGATTGACATAATGAGAGTTGTTCGTGTAGCAAGAATGCGTAGGAGCTAGTTAGTTGAATAAATCTTTACGTTTTGAATTGTCACTTATGGGAATTTCAGCTGTATCAACTTTATGATGATTGAACATTCTTTGCTTTGTAGATCTCTATGTTAAGGAGTACCGTCCTCCAGGTTTTACAGAGGACAAGAAATATGGCGTCTTGTTTTCAGTGTAAGTATCTCACTCTTGGAAGTGATTCAAAATCATCATCATCATCATTATCATTATCATTACTATCACCAAGAAACATTTTTCTTGGAAAGTACAACTTTAGAAAACTAATTATGATAATTTTTTAATCTTCTTATACAGGTATGGCGGTCCAAGTTCACAAAAGGTAGATACTAAAAAACTATTAAGTTTGATCAACATGTAACTTGTGGATGTTAAAAATGAAAATAGCATTTGTTGTTCTCATGCATAATCACTAGCAGTAAGCTAGGGAAAGACTTTTTTGAAGTGTCAATATTATCATATTCATCTTCTGTGATCATGTCCTCAATTCTCATGACCACAGTGTTTGATAAAGCATTGATAATACAAGGAGAAATTTCATGCTGATCAGTCTTAGGGCTTAAACGGTTTAAGGGTTTGATAACCAGGTCATGATGCAACTGAACTCACTGAGTGTTCAGAGAACTTTTTTTCTGAGTTTCCTGTGTCACAGACTTATTAATTGTCCTACATGTACCAAAAGGTTGTGGACGCTTATGGATATGGATTTGAAACTGGTTATCTTGTCAGCAACTTTGACTTGATTGTGGTGAATGTAGATGCAAGGGGTACCTGCTGCAGAGGAGAGAGGTAATAATAATAAGTAATAATCTTAATAATAATTTATTAAATAATAATAATCTTTCATTGATAATAAAGCTAACTATAAAATCCTATTTACTATTAATTTTGCCTAAAAGACTATTCAGTCAAAGCGCTATTTACAATTCCTTTCAATTAAAAAACCCTTAATTTTGATTAAAAATTCATTTCAATTCAACTAATAATAATAACAAAAACAATGATAATAATAATAATAATAATAATAATTCCAACTGATTTCCAAACATCTCCCAATAAGGTGAAAGCTCAAAGCATTTTCCTTTTTTCCCCATGGTTTGTTGAGATCCAGAAATTTTGCCACCGTAGAAACATGACATAATGACTTCTCCTCTCTTTTGGGTTGTAAAGTAACTATGAGATATAAATTTTGTCTTTGTAGGTTTAAGCATGAAGTTTATAAGCAGATAGGGAAGGCTGAAGCTGAAGATACAATAGCTGTTGCAAGGTAAAACATGCTCAAAGTTTCCACCTGGGGAGTAAGGGTGGCACAGTGATGAGACCACTCGCCCCGCACTAATGTGGCCTGGGTTCAAATCTCGGCATCAACGCCATATGTGGGTTGAGTTTAGTGTTGGTTCTCTCCCTTGCAGCGAGAGGTTTTTCTTCGGGTACTCCAGTTTTCCCCTCTCCTTAAAAACCAAGACTTCCAAATTCGAATTCGATCTGGAACACACAGACACGTTTCAATGAGTTCTCATGAACTCCTAAGTGCTCCGTGGGTAAACACATTACAACAATTACACAATTACAATACATTTTGTATGCTGCCGAAAGGGAGAATATGTTGAAAAATAAAGGCATTTCTGGTAATCATTTCCTTTATTCCTGTGCGCGTTGTATCTGATAAAGCATTCATGTACGGGCAAATGATAAACTGGAATAATGGGGTTGGAAAACCATACAGTGGATTCTAATTTCGTGTTTTTTTAGTTAACCCTTTTTCTTCTAATAGTGGCCAAATGAAATATTTTGTAAAATTTTAAGAAACACATCGAACCATACAAAAGTTCTGCCAAAACGGATTCCATTTGAATGGTCACACCACAGGATTTTTTCCACATAAGCAAAAATCATCTGATCATACAGTCTCGCCATAAGCTATGCTAAAAGTGAAAGCTATTAAAGGGACAATTAACTTTATTGGATTGCATTACTGGTCAAAGAATATTTTGTGTTTGAATACAGTGTGAAAATGTGATCTTAGAAACAATATGGTTACAACACAATATGAACAGTAGAAACAATATGAACCTAGTATATGGCCTCGCTCTCCATGAGTTCTCCATAGCTCAAGTAAATAGAGTGCCTGCCTGGTGTTTGGGAGGTCATAGGTTCCAGTCCTGTCGAAGACTCAGATTTTTTCTTTGTCACACGCTCGTGACAAGCTGATCATTTCATTTTCACAATATGGTTACACTGAACAGTCGTTGCCAAATATTTCAACTATAAGCTGGAGCTTATATACTAACAATCTGTTCTGTTTTGCAGGCATATTGCTAATAAGAAGTATGTGGATGAAAACAAACTGGCCATCTGGGGCTGGGTAAGGATATAACTCTATTACTAGTAACAACCAAAGGTAACGGAGTGCAGGCAACAACGATCAAGGGTCAAAATGCTTTTGTTCCAGCACTGTGCTTTGCGTAAGCTTCATGTGAGCGATGGTTAAAATATGCGTGATTAGACTAAGCAGGGTGCAATGAAAGTCAGTTTTACAGCCTGCCATTCGGGCAAGCTGCAGCTAGCATGTACTAGCCCACAAGTCATTTCGACTAGCCCCAAAACCCTTTTTGATTAGCACAATTGATAACAATCCTTCTGTGATTTGAATTTCCCCAGCAAACAGTACTTGCCCATCGGGCAAGTTAAGAACAAAAATCACTGGCCCAATAGCAAAATCCACTAGCCCTGGGCTATCGGACACGACTTTCTTTGCACGCTGGACTAAGAGTGACGTGATCAAAGTGCGTTCTGTACATTCCATACATTCATAGTGGAAGTCCAAACAAATGCTGGCTACATACATGCGACACATGTATAATAACAACCCACAAGATTCATAACGTGTTTCAGAAACTGCTGCCTAGAATGTGCACTCTGCATCTTTGTAGAGATATCGATGGTCCGATCACATGATTGAAGATCAAGAGATTTTGCAATTGTCGCTTTATCACTTTTTTCTCACAGCTATCACAGCTATTTAAACCTTGTTTGTAATTTTTAGAGGCTTAGCTTGCAAAATAGAATACCCAAACAAAATTTATTAGAAGCCTGTGTGGCATCCTGCATATTTTTTTGACTGGATTTGAAATGCTGGGTATATAATATTGTGCTTGCTTGTCTTGTTGGTTAGTCCTACGGTGGCTTCTTGACGTCTTACATTCTTGGTCAAAAGTCCGATGTGTTCAAAGTTGGTATGGCTGTGGCACCAGTTACTGACTGGCGATATTATGGTAAGTAGGGCTTCTCTGGGAAAAATTAAAACAACAACCAGGTGCTAAAATACTTAGGCACTAGACTGTCCACACGTGCAAAGGATGTGTATTTTATGGGACAGATGTATTATTAGCTGTGATTTTAAGTAAGGAAGGCTGTTGTTTCTTCAGATTGTCTCAACAATTTTGCAGTCAGTTTATAATAGTTTGGTTTGCGGGTGTCATACTTGAGAGGGAATTCACATAATATGTCGCTATTAACATTAAAACTATATCTTTTTATATTGTGTTCCAGATTCAATATACACTGAACGATACATGCTGACTCCACAGAAAAACTTTGGTGGTTATGAGGTAACTTATAAATGGCAGTTTAAAGATCCAAAGCTAGTTTGTAGATTCTGGTTTGGTCTTACTACTAACTAGAATGCCCTTATCAGCCACAAAGAAGTTGCATCTCAGATGTACTTATGTATTAATTTATAATTATGTTACTATTCATTCAAAATATTTCCCCAATTCTGATTGGCTAAAGGCACACTCATAATTCACCATAATCAGTTACTGATGACCAAATTGCGAAGAATTTTGTGTTTAACAAGGAAATAACGTCAAAAATGCAGCCTTCTACAGGTTAATGCACCGTTAACCAAGAAGGCCTGGGGCAAGGTTGAGTTGTTTTCGTTGTGAAAACTAAAATGGTCGACCCTTCACTCGTTTCAAGAGTGAGAACTACAGCTGAAACTAGGCAAAATAATGGCTAAAAACATAGCAAAAAAAGCAAGAAGACAACTCAGAGGACGACATCTGCTATTTGGAGAAAATTTGTCGAGCTCGACAAACCTAAACGTACACTATCGAAGATAAACTTAACATCGATGCAGGTAAGCATTTTTTAGCTATGTTTTAAACTAGGAATTACTTTGAAAGAATAATAAAGCAATTAATGAATTTGGCTTTCCTAGGATATGAAGAATTAAGCAGATCTCGGAGGGTGTTATCCTCCTCGATCTGCTTAATTCTTCATATTCTACTCAGCCTCATTCATTAATTGCTGAATATGAGTCTCCTAAGGGTGAAGATATGGTTAAGTTAATATTTTATCTTTAATTTAGTGCAACAGTTATTCCTCCCAATATAGGTACACAGAAAGGGGAAAAAATTCAATTGTTTTCAAGTTCAAAATTAATTGCTATCCTTGATTTTGGCAAAACATAGTTAAGGTCATGCCCAGTAGGTCTTTAAAGAGTGGGTGTAAACAAGGTTAAAGAGGTTCCATCAGCCATGAGCCCTGACACTCTAAATGGCAAGTTTTTTCTAAGACATTTTTTATGGTTAACTTCTTTTAAGACTTGCGGTTATAATTTTCCAATTCTTAATGACTGAACAACATTTTAAGGACATATTTAACAGTCTCAACCTCTTACTGTTAAAAACGTGAATGTTTTATTTATTTTTTTGCATAGTCATAAGTGCATGCTTGCATACTTACTTATCTTAAAGATCAGCAAGACTTTTAGTATTTGCTATGTAGTAAATGTATAATTCATTTCAGGTATCATCTGTACTACCCTTGGCTCCAAATTTCTCGAATGACAGTTTTCTTCTAGTGCATGGGACTGGAGATGGTGAGTTGAGAGATTGCAATAAATTGTCTCAGCTGTAAGGTTGTTATCCAACTCTCTCATCCAGGTGCATTACGTTAATGCTAGGTGGTAACCCTGTGATGGTCTGTATATAATTTCAATGCTGGGTGGTAATCCTGTGATGGTCTGGAATTCAGCTGATGGGCCACTTATCATTGTTATTTTAAGGGAACTTGCAACTATTCATTCATTGCACTAATATTTACTTTTGGGGTTATTTGGGCCAAGAAAGATGGATGTAATGTTGAGCTGTGTTATTATTAGATGTAGAGATTCATTTAACACTACTAGGCCATTTTCACAATGATGTCTACAGCGTTTTGCTTTCTTATGCAAAATCAGGGCTTACCAAATTTAAATATGAAATGAAAAACAGAAAAGGATGTGCAAATGAACTATTGCTTTGCATTTTGTTTTTTGAAATCAATATTATTTTAAATGAGGTTTTGAAATCTCTTTTAAACCTATGAAAATGAATTTGAATGAAAATAAAATAAAACTTGCACCAAGGATGAGAGGATAAAGTTGAATTACAACATTATCGTTATGTTATGTAATAAAATATTATTACAGCCCCCTTAGAAGGTGGGGGTGCGCCATCTAATTCTCTAAATCCTGGCCCTTTTTCAGACCAAAAAATGTCATTTTCACACCTGTTTTCAGACCTGGGGCCCGTTTCTCGAAAGTCCCGGTAACTTTTCGGGCCCGAAATCAAATATTCAAATCGAAATATAAGAATGGCGGGTCCCGGCTAGCAAACCACTCGATTTTGTTTCATTAGCTGATAGTTTTATCACATTAGATGCAAAACTATTGAAACCTCGATCTTTAATGTAAACGGAGACAGCTTACCGGGCCTGTTAATTATCGGGACTTTCGAGAAACGGGCCTCTGGCCTCTAAGAAATTATGTCATCATTACTCAGATTAGAACAGCAACAAAAAAGATTTCTTAAAAATCCATTTTGAATTTGTATATTTCTCGTTCTTTCTTACTCATTTGGAATTGAAACGATAAATACGTTCATACAATCTGGTAGTTTCCTTGAAAACCATGCCTGATTCTAGACCAAATTCAGTGGGCAAAGTCTATTCCGGTCTTCAGACCAAAATGGCACAAAAACCCTACCTTTGTGGTGGCAAAAACCTATATGGCTTATATAAGGGAGTGTCTCCCCCCCCCCCACACCCTCCAGGGGTGCTACACTCTATGAGAGGTCAACATCAACACTTGGCAGTTGATGGATGGCCTTCTCTTATACAAGGCTGTGCTCTAAGGAAAACTGAAGGGAGCCCAGTGCTCTGAAACTGTAAAATCTAGGGTGCCCAGCATATGATTTGTATGAAAAATCTGAGATTTTCTAGTCGCCCGAGGGCAAAAGTTAGGCGCCAGGGGCCACCGGGCTCTGCTAGAGCACAGCCCTGCTTATACCTTGTTTACTATTTAATACACCTTTGTGATTTTCTCCTTTAGACAATGTACATTTTCAGAATACTGCACAACTAGTAGCGGCCTTAACAAAAGCTGGTGTTAAATATCAAGTTCAGGTAAGTGTCTAAAGTATAAACATGTAAAATTCACACAACATTAAGCCATCTTCAGCTTCATTTGATAGTAGTTCAACTGATGCTTGAGGATTTTGACAAAACATTGACAGTAAATTACTCCGAGAAGCTTTCACTTGTTTGGTCACACCTTACATTTTGTTGGCACCGTCCAAAGTTGTTAACACTTTTCTTACTTCTCTCTTCAGTTTTACACAGACAAGAACCACGGACTGTTAGGAAAAGAGACGCAACGACACTTATTCCAACTGTTGACTGACTTTCTTACAACTCAACTTAGAATTTAAATAATAATTTAAAATGTAAAGTAATTTCTTTTGTATTAATTTTGATTATATTCAACTCCTTGACCTTTTAACAGTTAGAGCACTGCACAAAATTAAGCTAGAGGATAACCCAATGAGCAGAAAATAGTAGGACAGGATAGAATAAAAGAGGTTTCATTTTTTGTCGACTGTTCAGGGATGGAACCATTAAATTCAGAAAGGGGATGTGGGACACTATCTTCTTAAACTGGCCCTGGTTGTCCAAATGTTAGATAGCACTATCTCATGAATATAATAGTACCTTGTTATTATCCTCTGGATAGGATTTATCCACAGTTCAAACAGCTCAACCCTGGGCTAATCTTTTACGATCTGATAAAGTCTGATAGGAAAAAATAGGCATTTTCACGATTTGTCCCAACAGCTTTTGTCCGGGGTTGTAGCTTCAGCTTGCCCAAATGGCAAGCTGTAAAAATGATTTTCCTTGCACCCTGCATGAAAAAGTTGTCACAATGCATGGTATATTTTTCTTCTTTCTTCAGTTTTACCCCGACAAGAATCATGGGCTCAGTGGTGGGGGAACTTCCGATCACTTATACCATCTACTCACAAGATTCCTGCTTGAAAAATTGTCCATTGGCAGTTGATGTTAAGTATCTAGCTTTGTCAAATACTCAACAAGACTGTTTACAGCCTCTTTATTTTCGCAACAAACTGGAAGGTACTTAACCCTTTAAGCCCCAATATCCACAAACAAATTCCCCAAACTGATGTCTATACATTTCCTTACGGAATAAGTTGGGAGAAATTGATAAAAGATCAGAGATTCTTCTCTTTGTGATCATTTGATTAATTCTCATAGATGTTGCACTTGACAATCTATGGATATTGTTAGGAGAAAATTGATGTTGGTCACTATTGGGACTTAAAGGGTTTTAACAAAATAATAGTAAAGGAGAGAAGCACTTGTAAAGCATACACAGGTATAGCATGCGAGCGAGCTGTCCTTCTCGAATGGAGAGCAAAGGAAGCTGTAAGAGAACATATGAGCAACTCCCCAAGATGGAGAAATTGCTCATGACCAGAGGGGGTTCTGGTAGGAGAAGGCATGTGAGAGAATATTTTTTCTTGCTTTCCGCTCCCCACCCTCTGTTGCTGTGCATTGATTTAAACAATGCATCTAGTTAGTACCTTCATAACATAATATGAAAAAAATAATATTGGCTGGAAACAGTCTTAATAATAGTTTAAATTTATATTTTTATTAAAGACTAAAATAATTTTTGTTGTTAATCGAGTTAAGTTCATTTGTCTTGACAAAAGATGGGAACCTTCATTCATTTTTAATATTGTGCCCAAAAAAATTAAAGGAGGAATTCTAAATAAAACCTTTCAATTAATATTGGCCTCTAAAAACTGGGTTTTATCAGTTAAAGCATTGTTATAATGGTTGATGTGTATTATAATATAATGGTATAAAATTAACTTAAGTTTTCCAAGTTTTCCCACCTCTTTGAACATTATTTTTAGCGATACATATAGTTCTTTAACGAGCTCTTTTGAAAAGAGACTGAATTTCGCTGTCAGACATTATAATTATGTAAAACAAGGGTTTAAAAGTACTTTTTTTGGGGGGGTGGGGGTCCACTGCATTGAAGCAGCTCTGTGGGCTGCTAAATTAAAAGTTAAGGGGCAATATACTTACTCACAAGCTTCTAAGTATTTAATTATGGTGGTGTTGTCTAAGTTATCTCCAAATATGATTAAATTAACTAAGATAGGTAAGTTAATTGTGTAATTTAATGAGTGACTTGGCTCAAACAAGGTTATTGTAAAAAACGTTTTTGAAGACTTAGCATTGTAAAAAGCCCACTCACAGCTAAATATCCTGAAGTGTTTTTTGATGCTCAACCAAAATCGGCAAAATTCCACATCAAGTGTGGACTTTTCTGTATATTCAAAACAGATATATACATTTATTTTTGGAAAACGTGCAGCTGGTTACTGTTTTAATTTTATAGTTTGAGATTTTTCATTGTTTGGAAAGTCTAAGATATAAAGAAAAGTAGAGAAAGCTCATTTAAGATTTTAAAGAAAGCTTATTAAAACTGTGTGAACTTTATTTCATTTTTCTTTGATGCTTCCTTGATACTTGGTAAAATAAAATTATTATTATTATACAGTTTCGTTAAACATTTTAAATCTATTGTCATATAGTAATGTAGTAATAAAGTGCACCTAAATCCCTCACTCATTAAAATTGGAAAAAGTACTTAATTATTATTTTGTTTGTTATTGTCATTACTTTTTAAAGTCTAGTAATGGACAAGGAGAGAAAGTATTAGACATGTAATGTTTGCCCTATGTTACGATGGAGGTCAGACATGCTGTGATCTCTTAGCATGATGTTGGAGACTTTTAAGATGCCACCACAGTGACAACAACAAAAACGTCAACAAAGAATAGGCAAAACAACAACTACTCTGCAAGTGCATCATACTTTTTTGTACAGTTCTTGGCCACCACTGCACGAGTACAACAGGAAATGCCTAATTTCATGTTTTATGGAGGACATAAACAAGCGATGGCTAAATTTTCTTTCTCTTTCTGAACTTGAATATGATTCTTGGGAGTTCGGCTCAAAAAGAGTTTGCTTGCATTTGACAAAGTAAATGAGTTGGAGTAATTGCGATAGAGATTGCAAGAACGCAAATTCACTTTTTTTTTTTTGTGGCCGTCACTGTTTTGGTATCTTAAACTCCTTTTTAGTAACTCTGGCTGCTTCCTCCCTGCCCTTAACAATGTTGAATTTTAATGATGTACAAGAATAAAATTATCCTGTCAATCACATTTTCTTCTTATTTTAATGCAAAGCAAGCAAATGAATTAGCTCCTAGATTTGAAGCGTGACATACAAAGGTTTATGCTTTGCTTACATTGGTGTCCATCTTATCAAGGCTAGTGACCATGTGGGAAACTGTCTTCCTATCCCCTAAACCAACATTTTGCCCTAAGTGAGTAGCAAGTGTTAATGCTGGCTTAGGGGAGGGGTAGGTGGGCAGTTTCCCAGAAACGTAAAATAATCCAGTGCTTTTCTCAATTCTGAAGTGCTGTTCTTCAAGTTAATGTAAGTTTGATTGTTGTCGTTAATATGATTTTCCATGTGCAATTCCTCTGATCCTGTCTTTCGGTTTTGACTACCACTCTCCTTTCTTCTCTAAGGAAATGAGGAAATAGGGAAAAGTATTATGAAGAGTATTACACAAGATATTTGAACATAACAGATAGCGACAGGATTTTTTTAAACAGAGTTGAAAGTTGCAAATTATTTATCAAGTTTCTATAACCTTAGAAGGTGAAGGAAAAAAGAATTGACTGAGATTTCCATTCCTCTTTTCTCTTCATCTAATTTAAAGATTTTTTTTTCAGTGTTATGCAGCAACTCTGCAAACATTCATTCCATTCACTTACCTTCAGCATCACGGAAGCTCTTTCGCCTGTTGTCATTTTCACTTTCAAGTCCCTTTAAAAACTGCACAAAAATGCCAATGGGCTTTTTGAGAGAGGTTTTCATGTATGCTGAAAATGGATAACAAAATGTCAAGTCCAAAGATAATCTTAAATAAACATAACAAAACAACTGATTGGCGAAAAAGTTGGTTTGCAAGTAACTAATTAGTAGCAGGGGAGAAACGTTTTGGTTTTCACTGATACCTGGCATCTTTTTCTTTTCTTCTTCGATCATGTCTGAGGAATTTTTCTCATGTTCATCAATTTCATCACAAAGTTGGCTGCAGTTGAATGTATAATAAATTAAATTATGTACAATATTTGCTGAAACTGGACTCAAGCAATATTATTCATTTAAAGCGCATGGGCACTGCCTCGACCCATGGAAGGCAATTTAAAATGAGGTTATAAAAGCATGGTCCATGTCAAAGAGATGATGATCTTTAACTTCTTCGTCTACTTTTTCCCGCAAAGATTCGACCCTTCAATACAAGATAGAATTAAGACCACTCCCTGAAATGGACCAAAACACTTCAACAATAGTTACCCAGCTTTAACTTCAGGATAATAAGAATTATTAGGAAAAAAATCAAGTGCAATATTAAACCTGATAGTGGGAACTGTAAATGGATCAAAGGTATCCACATCCCTCATACTGATAGGAACACAAACACGACCTGGAATATGGTAACAAAAGGTAATGTATAAGATGGAAACTTCGCTAAGCCATGTTTTGCACAAGGGTGCATAGAGGACATGTGTGGGTGCATGGTCAACTCTCCATTAGACAGACAGAAATCAGCCACAAACAGACACTTGGAGTTAGTATGTGTCATTTTTCATAATTTTTAGATTTGTTTTCTCCCTTTTCATTCCTGGAGTCAATAATATGGTGGGAGAAAATGTTATTCTAACTTTCGAGTTTGTGGATGAATTCCTATGGTGCTACTATTTAATTGAAACCTCTTGAGCAGTACTTTTGTAGGGTACTATTATTTTATTTTTTTGTATTCAACAAAATGAAATATTTATCATTTCCCTCAATTTTTTTTTCTTGGGCACTATTGGGAGAGAACGGGCTAACCCTTTCAACTCCAATATCCATATACAAATTCCCCAAACTGGTCTCCATGCACTTCCTTAAAGAATGAGTCGAGAGAATTTGATAAAAGATCAAAGCATTTTCCATTAGGTGACAATTTCATTAATTATTTTCATGACCGTCTCTTTTGATTATTATGTGTTGATAATTTTACAAGAAAATTTATGTTGGTCACACTTAGGATTTAGGGAAATCTCTAAGAACCAAGAGGGGCAATCTGTACTGGTCCAATGATGGATGTCTGTCTGAAAGAGTGTTGACTGTACAGTCAGACCCCATTAACACTTTAAGCCCTGATATCCACTTAAAAATTCTCCAAACTGATCTCGATACATTTCCTTAAAGAATAAGTTGAGAGAATTTGATAACAGATCAAGACTTTATTCTTTTAGTGGTCATTTTGTTAACTCTCATAACCATTTCTCTTGGCAACATATGGATATTGGTAGGAGAAAATTGATGTTGGTCACTATTGGGACTTTAAGGGTTAATAAAGACACTGAGGGGGCCATAGAAAGTTTTAGTATTAACAGGGTGTCCGTATTAAATGGGTTGAATTTAGAGAAACTGTAAGGGCTTTCTTTTCCCAGGGACAAAGCAAACTGTCCGTAATGATGAGGTGTCCAGATTAAAATTAATGGTGTCCGTTAAGCAGGTTGAATGTATTTTTATTTTAATCCCAGTTCATTCTGAGGACAAAGAGGGGGGGGGGGGGGGGGGGTCTTTGACGCACACTTTGTGCTGGTACATATTTGATTCTCACCTGTTTTTGGATGAACACAAAATGGGCTCTTCAGTAAGTGATTAAGACCCTTAGTAACATTGACGTCAAGACGAGGAAAACAGTACTGGAACATTATCTCATCCTTTGTTTCTGTTTTCTGGACAAGAGATTCAAACTGAATCATTTTAGGGGCAAATTTGAAACTTAGGTCATAATGTACAACAGTTATTGCTTCACATTTTCCGTCTACAGGCCTTAACTCACTGGAGGGTAAAATCATAGGGCCAGTGCTAGCTAATATCCATTTCCTCAAAAATTCTTGGGAGAATTTAATAAAAGATCAGAGCTTTTTTTCCTCTGTGATTTAATTCCCATAAGCTTTTCTCTTGATAATGTACTGATACTGTGAGAGGAACATTCGGCACTGGTCACCATTATGTCTTATACAAGTTAGAGGAAAGTAGCCCTCACATAGAATCAGACCTGCCTTTCCCCTGTGTAATTAGCTATTTGAAAGGCAGGTGTGAATGAGTTCGTTATTTGAGTGAACAACACTTGGTGCCAATTGCTTACACAATGGTTCCTTTATAGCTTCTAGTATTTAATAACTAAAATAAGAGATTAGTGAGATAGTGAGGTCTGTAACAAGTCATCTGACAGTTACCTGACTTCCTTTCAGCCAGTCATCAAGTTCCTCCCACCTGTTACGTGATGACCTCTTTGTTTTTGACCAAGAAGAGTTCAGTTCATTTCGTACAGCTTGTATATGTTAAAGACTCACCACTTGGTTGGCAAACTTTATTTTAGCTTCTGAGGGGTATCAAGTAGATAATCTATTTTAAAGCAACTGGCCCTGGTTGTTCAAAAGATGGATAGTGCTATCCACTGGATAAATCGCTAATCCACCGTATAAGTAGTATGAAGACAAATCACATATCCAGTGGATAGCGCTATCCACCTTTTAAACAACTGGCCCCTGGAGTAAAATTTACTCCATTTAATGTAGGTTGCAGCTATGCATAGTTATTTAGGAGTGGCTATGTTGATACCCATATGACAAAAGTGCAAGTGATGATCGGCTTATCCTATTAGGTGTGATCATGTTGTTAAATTCTCATGACCTCTTTGATCTAGTGACCACTGATATGATAAGGAGAATATTGATGCTGATCACTGTTGGAACTTGAAAGGGTTACTGGTTAGTTCAGGAATCCGGTTATCACGTGTTCCTGTTACATGCGTGATTTTACCATTCAGGCTAGGTTAGTGCAGGAATCCTGTCAGTGACATGCATTTTACCATTCAGAGAGAATTCTTTGTTTGTTTGTGTCTTTTTTTAAAAAAATGTCTTTAACATTAATTTAAAGGATACAATCAGGTACAAGAGCAAGAACACCATCCCATCTTTCCTTTGAGGATAAAACATCTTGTTTGTCAATCACAAGATCCACAAAATGCTCACGGAGGATTCTTAAGGAGTTCCTAAAAAGGCAAATTTTTGTGTGAGATGCAACCTCGTATTACCACTCAAAGTTAAGTCAGGTTTGAAAAAGGTTACAGAAGTCATATGCCCACATTTTTGGTGCTGAAACAGAAATCTGAGCTCGACATTTCACAGTAGTAATATTTTTTTTCAAAGCTTAAAGTCACTTCTTTTACCACTCTCCTCTACAAGGGTTGTTGGCTTAGTAACTGACGGGTCCAGACCCCTTGCCCAGAGGGGTGGGTGTGGTTGGGTAGAGTGGTACTTGGTTAGATTTGGGGTAGCTACGTAACATGCAGGGTGGGTTGTTCAAAGCTAAATTATGCAAAATTTGAATTCAGATATAAAAGCTTAAAAAGCAAATTCAGTTTAATTCATTTTGATTACACTTTCAGAACTGGATGCTCTAAAAATAATAAAGAAAATTATCCAAGAAATTACTTTTGAACAAAAGAAAAAAAAAAAACAGAGTCCTAAGTTACAACCCTCGTGGGTGACACATACCCATGTAGGTATTTTCAAGAAGTACCAACCTACCCCAAAGTGTTGTAAAAGAAAATCAAACACAATCATCTAACCACTTCTCTAACCTGATATAAGGGTGGTATGGTCGACGGAGATTCACTTTCTTGATTTGATTTTCACCACCCTGCATTAAAATATTCAGCCATTAATATGATATGAAGAGAAGCTTTAAGGAGCAAATCCAGAATTGTCAAAGAAGGTTAAAGAATGCCTTCTGTATTGCTTAGTTTTTTAGTGGAAGTCGCAGAGGGGTAAGATAAGCCTGTTGGCTTTACCATTTTGAAATAACTATTGCTACAATTACCTTGATGACACTGAGATATTCTGCTACAGCTGAACGAGCATTCTGAGAAAGTTTCCGCGCCTTTTCATCACACACCCAGCAATGGACACCACGGCGACCACTGTAGACCCAAAGTCTGTGTTGGAACCCAAAATCTCCTGCAACATAAATACGGCAATAAAAGACATTAGTATGACGCTCAAATCTGTAACCTTACAATTTATTACTATATTTATCCAGACCAAATCATCAAATTCTGTTTGCAATTTTTTTTAACCAATAGCACCAAAATAAGTACCAGTATTATGTTGTAGATAAACCTGAATTGTCCACTTTACTGGAGTTTCTTTGATAGCTAGAGGAGCCCATGTTACCTGAACCCTTGGTCAAAAGTGTTGCAAGTCATAAGTGGGTAGAATGTGATTGCTCAGGCGAGCATAGTTCTGAATGGAGCTGTTGTTGACAGTGACTGACATTTCAACAACCTACACTGTATGCAGTAGTCATCTTCAGAGTCAAAGGGTGGTGCAGGTGGCAAAAAGCTGATTTGAGAAACCTACTTTCAAGAGTTGAGTCCACTATTTTCATTGCAACAACCATGAACAACCAGCACTTCTTGCAAATATCGGCACCTCTGTTGAAATAGAAAAAAAAGTTTATCTGTCAATTAAGTATGTTGAGTTAAGTCACCGCCTGGTAAGCTCAGTTGGGAGAGCACCAGTCTGTTGAGTGGGAGGTCACGTGTTTAAACCCTGGCTGAGAAGAGAAGTGCTGCCTTTGTAATGTTATATACAAATGGTTAGGCAATCTTTTCCTCTTGAATAATGAAAAAACCGCAGGTCCTGTCTCATGGTCTCATGTCATCCTGTCACAGGATGTTACCTTCATATAGATTCTTTTTGCCTGACATACTTAAACTTAAAACTGTGAATTGTAAATAATATATATATATATATATATATGTTTTTAATGTGCTTATTACTATTAATATTATTTTATTATTATTTATTTTAATGCATTTAATGTATATAATTATATATTTCTATATTATTTTCATGTAGTGTCAGCTCGAAGATATTAGCTTGTTAGCTACTCTAAAATTCGAGTATAAATAAAGTTTTGTTATGTTATGTTTATGTTCTGGTACTTTCAGTTATCTTGTTTTTGTGGGACACCACTGTTCAAAAAGAGTAGGGGATGTAGACCATAGGGGCATGGCCAACCTTTCCTGGGCTGGGTGGGTTATCTGCAAGGAATAACCTCACGATCCTCCTTTAGGTGTCGTAATGTCTACCTCTAAACAGTGTATGTATGTGACCAATCTATCAGTTGGTCAGTGAGCCAGCTAGTCAGCATTCACTTCAGTCTATCACATAGTAGTTTAGCCACTGAGTGCATCAGTCTGCTAGCCATCAAAAGAGTTACCTTGCTAGCCAGTTGATCAGCCAGTGACCCAAGTTGTTAGCCAGTCATTCTACAAGCCAGTTGATCAGTCACTGGTTCAGTTCACCTGTCAGTTATCCAGTGTGTCAGACCACAGGGTAGTTTATCAGCTGGTAAGAAACTCAGTCTGGCTGCCAGCCAATCTGCCAGCTGATTACTGGTAAAAACATTCTACCACTCAGCAAATAAGTCGGTTTTTAACTCATAAGGCAGACATAGACATGTGATCAGGCAGCCACTGAGTCAGTCAGTTTACAACCTACTCAGTAGGTTTGTCAGAGCCAGTCAGTTGTTCAGCAAGCCATTCCAGTTGTGTCTGCTCTCTCTCTGTCACGCAACAATAGCCATGGCATTGTGTGACAGAGAACAAGAGGCCAGAACTGGGCTAGACAGCTTGGATATAGAAGTGGGCAGCTTGGCAGTTGGGTGTTGAAGGCAATTTCAGGCTTTCACTCTGTCGCCTTGCCCTTTTGCCCCAAAATCAGGTGGCTCAAAATTCGAAATAGCCAGTTGCTAGTATTTAATGAAAACCCTGCCACCATCAGCTGGTCAGTCTGTGAGGCACATGGTTACTCAGTAACTCTAACAACACTGCCACTTTATAACCCACACAATGGGAAAATTTGAATATATGGCACCCGCATCATGCAAAGAAGACAACCTACTTGCAGCATGTCCTGACTTCATCATAATCTGTCATATCAATATCAAACACCAGCTCCTTTTCTTCAGCTTGAAATGCCCCAGGTTTAATCATCTTGTGATCCTTTGGCTGAAAGGCACATAGACATACAAGCTGTGAATACGGATGTCCCCCCTCTACTAAGAACGTTTGCAAAGGACATCTGCCGAGGATTTGCACTCATTTTTGGGGGTAAGTCTGTAAAAGTGTGGAAACATTGTGTCTTACCTTTGTAATTTAATTCCTCAAAATGGGTGGTGAAAATTACATTATTTGCCTTGAAAATGGATAAGGGGTTTCAAACAATGAAGTACAGAGTCTTGCCAAAAACCATTAGGTCACCCTCTCCCAAAGGAACAAGAAAGAGCAACTGCAGTGAGGGGGGGGGAGTGGGGGGTACCCTCCAGTGCCAAATATTTCAATCTAACAAGAGGATTAGATTCCTCCTTTTTCTTTTAGAAAAATAAAATAAAAATTAAAACCTCCAAGGCAACTTTATCAGGTTTAAACCCAAATCGTCCTCTACATATATGAAATACAAGCTTAAACTTGCCTTGTGGGTGAATACAGCTCCAATGTCAATTTTGTACGGGTTTCGTTTCAGTATTTCCTTCTCCAATTCTTGTTGATCCGAGAACGACTGATACCGCAGGTAAACATCGTCTTTTAACGTGAAAGAGAACTCCCGATTGACAAAATAAGTCTTGGGCACTGCGAAATCGACACAATCACAAAAAAAATCAAGTCAATTTCATTAACGATCTACATCATCGAACTACATATTTCACCCAGATTTCAAAAATTCGCTACCTCCTCCGTAGGAAAGCCACTGTACGAAATATTTATAAGGAAATAATCTTTTGTAGTATTGATTTAGAAGTTCAGGAAGATCCGATTGACTAAACTGTGACGACTTCTGACTGTTTTGAGAAGAAACTTCATTGTCCGCCATCTTGAGTGGAATTCGCGCCAAAACAGCGAAAACTTTTATGTTTTGGCGGTAACCGCTGATCACGTATTTTCGCGCCAAAAGAGCTGAACCACGTGAGTTAGCACAATACTCTTTAGTTTTCTTGTTTGTTTTTTTCCCCACATAAGCGCTTTATGTCAAGGAACAGTGAAACCGCACATTCATCTCAAAAGATAGAAAATGAATTTTCAGGTTGGTCTTGACAGAACTGCTTGAGGTCTAACGTAAGTATTTGAATGTGGCTCCTTTCTGGAAACCTACGTACTATTTTGGTGCAGTCATTTACAGGGATAGCGTTGTTCGAGCCATGTGAGTACCTCAAAGGAAGTAAACATTTTCTTTCCTCCTTCCATTCTTAGTTTGCAAGCAAAATGAAATGGCAGCCATGTTGGTGGCCCGGGGATTGATGACCAACAAAATATATATAAATTTTTTGCGAAGAATTTTTTAGTTCCCAGAGAGTTCTTGACAGTCAACATGGCCGCTGTGATGAAACGTACCCACGTTTTAATACTCCTTCCCATTCAATCTCGTATCCAGAGTCTTTTGGCCTCGAGCAAAAAGCTTGAAGACTCTGGTGCAAGATTGCTGCTGCTTCTTACTCCCCTCCAAATGCCAGTTTTTGATACGGGAAAAAAACACAAACCACAGTTCTACATATGTAACATGAACATATTTAATGTAGTCATATTTGATCTGAAAGAACGGTACAAAATTGTTTTCCCTAAATTGTATCATTAGGTGTTTTCAGAACACACATCAAATTAGTCTCTACAGCAAAATTTATACCATTTTTATTTCTCTTTACTCTCAGTATTGCCCTAAACTAATTTTATTTAGATAGCTGCCAGCGTTGTTGGCTCAATTATCAGCCGTTAGTATGCCTGAAACGCCTCAGGGGTGGGGGAAGGGTGGAGGGCGACACTCCCTCATTTGGCCTAAAGGGCTATGTACCACTGAATTACAGGGTATAGTTCTCAGGGTCTTGAGTCTATAAACGCGGTATACAATTTCACCATGTAATTCAATTCAAAAACTATCAAATTTCACCAAAAAGGTACTCCAGCTCTCAGCTTTGAAAGGTCAAGGTCAGGATTTCATCCACCGCCTTAGGCTTACTTCCCTGGCAACCAGAGATTCTACATGCACTGGGCCAAACATATGTTGGCCTGCAGCTAACACAAGAGCATCACGCTGCATGTGAGGAAAAACCTCCAAGGCCCAGGGTGGAAGGCTACTGCCGAACGAAACTAATGGCCCTATTAAACTCCCAATTCTTGTGACCTTTGCACATGTAGAAACTGATAGGACTAAAACAATATCTCATAGAGTCCTCGGGCAAACAGCTGATGGAAGTAGCTAATCAAACTAAATTGTGGTTAAGTTGGTATAATGATTTTTTGTTACCTAGAGGGGCTAGGAACCAAGAGGTAATAATTTAAAGAAGAACTTGAGCACCAGCAAATGACTGTATGGGACTTGTGGGATTTAGTGAGCACCAATGCTTTTGTTTTTGACTATACAGTAATAAAAAGAATAGGGAGAAGACAAGATAAGATCCTAATGGTATTTTTCCTTGGGGCGAAGTTACTAATGTCTTGTGATATTTCTTGCTATTTTGACACTTGCTACATGTCACAGCTCTGCCTATGAAAAACCAGCTCATATTATGATTCCACCACAGCACAAGATACACCAGATCTTTTTGTTAATACAATCCAGGAGGGTCTACTTCAGCGCTTTAGAATTTATATCTGACATTTCTTTTCCTTTTTTAAGGCTTTGACGTTTGGCTTCTCCATGCTATTAGCAATGAAGAAGAGCATCAGTCAGTTGTAGCAGTTACCTGGAAATCAAAAAAGCAAAGATAGAATTTAAAGCTTATTTTTAACACTTTCTCTCTTGTGGAGATTCCCAATCTTGCATCATGTGTATTGCCCTGAGAGATACCAGTCTGTGAGACAGTTGTGAGCTGCAAGCTTTAACACTTCTTTTCTGCCATATTGTTGTTTTACTAAACATAAAACTTTCCTCTGCAATGTTTCTCACCACAATGGGTGGATTTAGGGGTGGTCCAAGGGTACCACACCCCTCCTTTCACTGGTAAATTTCATACAGACAAACCCTGTTAATACAGACACTGAGAGAGGCATAGAAAGTGTCAATATTAACCGGGTGTCCATATTAAGTGGGTTGAATTTAGAGAAAACGCAAGGGCTTTCTTTCCTTAACTGTCCATAATAATGAGGTGTCTGTATTAAGCGGGTGTCTAAAAAGTGGGGTTCGACTGTATTATTTTTAACAAATTCCCAGGAAAATAACAAGTGCGACTGGCAAGTGTCCTGTCTCCCATTTTGAATTTTCTGAATCCTCCCCTGATCAACAAGTCAACAATTTAAGCACCCCACAGTTTTTTCCTTTACAATAAATCCTGATACCTACCCTCTTCCTCACACTGCTCTTCTCATCGTCATTGTCTTTTGCTTCTTCTTTTTCTTCCTTATCACATTGTTCACTATGCTCTTCACCAGGCTCCTCTTCAGATTCCTTTTCTGAGGGCAGAACAGGCACTTGAGGGGCCTGGATCACAGAAGGTCCTCCCAGGATATAGTCTGATACAACTACTATAATCTAATGACAACAAAACCAAGATAAACATAAATAAAATAAATAACCTTTATTTACCCTCCGCAGTATTTATAGAACTAATGCTAGTGGGGCCAAGCAAATGCCTGAAACAATTTACATCACACTTAACAGAGTTATGAATCCTAACTAGTGAGTGGCAAGCCAGCGGGCTATTTACAAGGATGGCAGAGGATTTACACTCTGGACTCCTGAGAACAAAATAATCTGTCAAGTGGTCTTGAACTTGGGGCCTCCAAATAATTAAGTTCACCAACCTAACTGATCAGCCACAGAGCCCCCGATCAAATACGTATGTTTGCAGTAAGGTATCTTTAGTCATTATCAAAGTACAAACTAGAAAATGCTTCGTTTTAACCACTCCAAAAATATAACTCAGAGAATTATGGTCAATAATTAAACAGTTTACCATGCCTATAAGAAGTCCTGCTAGAACTGTAGAAATGCCAAAAAGTGCATATGAAGCCCAGACTGGGAGACCATGTGTGACTGTAAGTAGCTCATGAAAATCCTGTTGACACCAACATAAACAAGAAAGATGGAATGAATGTCATGTCAGGAACATGTGACAAAGAGAAACTCTGTAGACCTAGCCAGGATTCCAACTACAGTGGAACTTGGATATAACAGAGGACAAATGGGCTGACAAAATACATTCACTATATCAAAATTTCATTATCGCATTCATCAGAACACATCCTAATATTGGTGTTCCTGAAGCACAAAGCCACAAATTTTCATGTTGTCACGGACGACTGCCTATTAGCCACCCCAACTGATTTTATCAAGCGCATCTCGTCCAGGAAACTGGACTCCTAAGTCCTTTAGACTCGATTTCCTTTCCATAAGTGATGAACACGGATCTGTAATCAAAGATTCCCTTTAGTATTGTAGTTCTTTTCCACATAATTATTTTACTATTACTGGAGTGAAGAATAATGTTCATTATATATGGCAAGGACTTCGTGAAAATGACATTCTTGATCTAGAAGATCACTGGTTCCACTGCAGGGATGTCCAAACATCAAAAAGTTGCTACAATGATCATAGAGATACAGAGAGCCTAGCTTTGTGAAAACTAGGAAATTAAACCGACTCATTGACACCAATATATCTGATGAAATGCAAATGACTTTTCCTCGGTAATACTTTTAACATCAACCACAATTATTTAAAGCAGCATACCTTTAAAAGCAAGGAAAGCTTGAACAACACACCAAGCATTGCCATCCTAATATAATGAGGGGACAAAACTATGTTTCAGATATCTTACAAATCAAATCAACATCAGTTTTATCCAGAGTTACCATTGTTAATGGGTACAGTTCTAGTTATCTGTCTCTTTGGTGTCATAATAATAAGGTTTTAGCACAACAAATGTTTGGTACAAACCAGCTGTAAGTAGACACAGGGTGCAACAAAAGTGCTGTCTGATAGCCCGGGACTAGTGGAACTAGCTGTTGGGATAGCATATTTTAACAAAAATAATTATTGAGTTGTCTGACAGGCAAGCAACATTTCCCCAGTTTAACAGTAACTCAATTTTAGTAAAAAGAGGGATTAATAGGACTAACTGCCTTGGGCTACTAAACCTCAGCAACAGCTTGCCCAATGGGAAAGTGATTTTGTTTTTAGTTTTTAACTCACCCTGGGATACCCCTGGCACCGAAAAAACATACTTATGGGAAGAGTTCACCTATGGGAAGTGGGAGAGTGAAGGTTTGACTGTATATAGTACAACATACGTACAGAAATGAGTTAGGAGACTTCCACCAAGGAACGGGTTCAGTTTCTCTCCATTTTTGTTCACTGATAAAGTCTATAAATCCTTGCAATGATCTTGGACCTTCATACTTTCGAAAAGTTCCATCTTTAACACTGATAGAGGGGAGAAACAAAGTGTTAGTTAAAAAAAAAATTAATTTTATAATCATGATGATGATCAAATAAAATGTTACAATTCTGAATATAATGATGATGATGATAGTTGTCTTAATAGTGGCAAAGGTGAATTTGGTGATAATAACAGAACAACAAGGGATGAAGGTGGTGATGAAGAAGGTGATGATGATGATGATAACAATAACTATAATAATGAGGACTAGTGATGCTGATGGAGAGGTTGGTGTTGCCAGTGTTGGTGATGGTAACAGTGAACGTAATGATGACGTTAATGACAGCAATGAAGATGATGATGATGATGATGACAACTTACAACAAAAATAAAAGTGTCAGTCTGTCTGGTGTGGCCGAAGCAATTTTGATAATACAATACATAAAGTGATGCCAACAATAAACTGCTATTAAAGATTGCTACCCTCAGAGAATGGAAAAGTGGCTGCTTGAGAATGTTTGACCGCTAAACAAAGGTTCTGGCCCAGTGATTTACCCATAACATTGTCTGCTAGGACTCTGGCCACTAAATAGATGGTGGCCACTTAGTTAGAGCCTACGCAATAACAGTTTGACTGTACAGTTAAATCTCTCTAAGATAACTTCATTTTGTCTTCATCACAGCACAGTGTCTGCTTTATAAAGACTCAAAGAAAATGACTTAAGAACAGCAGGGATGAACTTTAGATGTTCATTTTAGAGAGGTATCTTTCTTATAAGGGTGACTGTTAAGAAAGAGTTGAAATAAGCAACTCACTGGTAGATGGTTGGTAACGAAAATATCATAAACCTTCCACTCAATGCTGCAAAAAAACCCACAAACAAACAGTTAATAGTCAAATGAGAACATTTTAAGAATATTATGTAATGCAAAAAAAAAAAAGAGCTTTAAGGGGGATATATAATTTTTATTATCATGGAGATATGTCTCTGAAAAAATTAAAATACTCTTAAGTATTTGGCAAAGTAACCCATCAAAATCATAAACCTTTTACCTGAAATGATTAAACTGATGATTTTCTTCTTTCAATCAGGGTTTAATTCCCTGTCAAGGATGCATGTTTTTCAGGCCTCCTTCCCTTTTGCTTAAGTTGGTTGTGGATGATAAACCATTACAGTTGAGTTATTTTTTAAGTCCTGCCTACATAATTTGCCCCTGAGTAAAAAAGCATTCCTTTAACTACGAAAGAATGGTGAAACACATCTTACTTAAACAGGCAGACAGCAAGTGTGTACTCCACAGGGTACCCAAAAAAGCTACATATTCACAGAAAGACCAAAAAATTGCTTGTGTCAAGATCTTTGTAGTTGGTAGTGTTTGCGATGTAATGTAACAATTTTTTTTGTCTTCGGTGGTCATTTTGTCATGAATGAGAGCCCTGAGCAGAGCCCCATACTCAAGATAAATAATACTGGTAATCTATCCATCTGAGAAATTTTGGTAATCACATGACTGTACACCTGTCTGTCCGCACCACAGGAAAACCAATGCGAAATGTCAAATTGACCAGTGTTAAATGACCGTATTACAGGCTCAAGTGCCAACTCATTCAGGTCACGCATTTTTTTTTTAAAGTTTTCTGCCGACCAGTTGTTAGCTTTTAATTGATTGCGGGCTCAAGTTTATGTTTTTCAGTCATGTTTTTCCCGTAAAGTTAGTATAGATTTGTATTCTTTTCAGTAGTTTTAAGTCTATTGTCTGCAGTAAATTTAAAATGCATAAACGGTAGCTTCACTTTTAGCTCTGGCTAAAACTATATGTTATACCAATACATTACCAGGTTCTTTGGTGGTGTCCACTTCTCCAACATTAAAACCTAATGCATCAGCTTTTAGAGCCAATTTTCTCCATACAGGGGCTACGTGTTGACAAGCTGGGCACCAAGGAGCAAAGCTTTTAAAAGATAAATATAAAATGTTACTCTTACAGTAATGAAAGCAAATTTGACTTCTGACTGGTCAGCTCAATATTGGTTGGGTAAAAAAAATTAGAGTTCAAAGACTTGGGTTTGATTGACAGCACGATCAACTGTATGAGTCATCAAATCTCCCGCAAAAAATGGACTTTTGAGCTTTTCTGTGCTTTGGTTTGAAATTGAGCCCACTTTTTCTCTAAAATTCAACTTTTTTACTTATTTATTGAATGGTTTCTGGGACATTTTTGCACGTGTTTATTCACTGACAAAGACTAGTTTGTCATTACAAATGATAAAAGCGAATTTTAATAATATGTACTGCATGTAAGACTTCATATAATGTTCTAAGCCATTCCCATTAGTGGGCAGGGGGGGGTGTCTTATAGGTCCTTAAATAAGAGAGTACCCCCCAGGGGATAGGGCAAGAGATGGGAGTTCTCAAGCGGTAGAAATAGGGGGAAATTATGCAATAATGCTTGATATTTAACAATCCCAAAAGGGATAAAGGGGCAGGAGCTGGGAATGCAAGGATCCAGGAGGTTTGGATCCCTGTCCCTTCCTCCTGATAAGAATGGGTTTTTTTATTATTATTTGCAAGTAAAACACACACAAAAAAGAAAAAAAAATAGACAGAATAAATAAATGAATAAAACCAAAAAAAAAAAATTTACACACTTACATGCGATACTTACAAATATTAAACTAGATTACAGCAGTGCTAATTCCATATATTACTGTACTTAGTATGATCTATAATTAATTTTTACCATTTTTTTTTGCTTTCTTTGTGGTGAAAGTAATATAAATATTCATGGTAGGTGCAGATATTACTAATTTATGTTTTTGGAGTTAGGAGACAAGACTCAGCAAGGAAAAGAAAGGTTTCTATTTTTTTATATTGCTCAGTGTCTTATTTCTAATTGGTATATATGTCTCAGATAAAACAAGAAATGGTTGTGAATTGGGAGACAAGAATGTTGCAATGGGTCATTTGGCGCTTACTTGGTGTACCGGACACAGATGATGTAAAACAAAAGAACAAGCCATGAAACAATACCAAGCAGATTCTCCCCTGAACAGAAAACAAAGAGATCTTTTGTTTTACGTTATATGTGTCCGGTAAAAGAAGTTTTGACCAGTCATTCCAACCAGATCTCTGCTACTAAGGGTTGGGGCAGGGAACTCCTGGAGGATGCGGGATTTTCAAAAGTAAATTGATTGGATGTAGCTTGAATCGGTACTTTTGATCTCTTTAAATGAATAGGAAATAGATAGCACTGTATGATCGAGTATAAAACATCAAAGTTTGATTATCAAAAAAAAACTGTTCAACGTTCTGTGAATAAGGAATATTGGAGAAAAAGGATCCAGCGTTGTTCATGAAAACGTATATAACAGTAGCACCGAAAAAACGAGGAAATCCACGAACCAAGCAGGATGTTCTACAATTTCGTCACAACTAGGAAATCGACTAAAATTGCTTACGATGATTCGATGACGATACTACGTTTATTATTAATTATCTGAGCATACTTACAACTTAACCATCCATTCTCCTTCTAGCATAAGATGCCAGTTGTCATATGTAAGTTGTTGATTTTTGCCATCTGAACATCCTGAAGAAAAGAACGTGACCAAAACAACAACCCCCAAAGAAACTCCCGCCATTTTGGACGCCATCTTGATGAGCCCGCAAAAAAAGAAATCAGTGCTTTTCCTTCATTGATCATGCGTCAGAGGTTTCAAAATGGCGTCCCTGTCTCGGTGTTCTTTGTCTCGTCTATCTTTCGCAAAATCAAGCAGTTTATTAACGGTAAATATTCCGATATTCCCTCTCTGGATATTTTCTTCCTTCAGCTAAGATTTTGTTTGACATTTTGTAGAAAAAGTCAAGAAGCTGTGTAGCTCAGACGGTCAAGTTAACGACTAGTCAATGTTTGCAACCATGTTCTGGAAGTGGAGTTCGAACGATATGTGGATCTGCGCTTCAACAAAATTCGAAAGTTAGTATGTGAGTATCTTCATATTCATTATTCTGTACTTAAAAGATAAGAAGATTTTCGCAATTCCTCTATTTTCAGTTATCCCAGGGAGGTGCATGTGGTCTCAGGGAATCCGGGTTTAGCCAACCAACCTTGTTCCCAGGGTTCTCTCCTACCCGCCCTCTCTCGCTCTGTAGGGCGGGTTGGAGAGAACCCTGGGAACGAGGTTTTTAGCCAACAGGTTTTAGGAAATCACATTTATCTGTCCCTTCTGCGTGTGTTTAAGTAGCCTGCCCTGCATGGCAGGCGTTGAAAGGGGAAATGGAAGGGGCAATTTGGGCGCAAGAGAGTGCATAGGGCGCTTTCCTTTCTCCCTCGTGCGCCCAAATTGTCCCCTTCCCCTTCCCCTTTTAACGCCTGCCACGCAGGCTAGTGTTTGAGCCAATGTGATTATTATTGAGCTGCCTGTGGCATCCCAATAATTATTATAAAATGACCTTTTTCCAGTAAAAAAAGGGCAGTGGAAACATCCAGAAGGCATCGTCTTATCCCTCCTATGGGTCATTTGACTTTTGACAGGACGGGATGGGTCATTTTTCAGATGAAAGATTTAACAGACTTGGAATGAAAACAACATTCATGTGGAGTTATTTCTCTATTAATTACACCTGTCTTCTCATTGGCTAAGAGCCTGCAGTTAATTTTTTAAAAACAGTGCAACCTACAGGTTAACTATCTGCTAGCTGTCAACTGACTAATCTGAGGGGGACATTGGGGGGGTCTGAACACCGCAAAAATTTTGCCGATCTCTGCATCACCGCAAGAAAAGTCGGTGGATCACCGTCACCACAATATCTATTTTATCTAAAAATAGGTCAAATAGTGATCCAAACAGCGTCTTAAAGGTCCCAGAAGATCGAACGACCTTGGAGTGGGTTTAGACAGATATCAGATTGACCTCCGTACGACCTTATACAGTTAAGACTAGCTACGATATTCAGATACAGAGACAATGCATGTTACTTACCAAATGCATTCTAAATGAGTCAGTCTCTTTTCCTCCTTGTTTATGGAGCATCGAAATTTGTTTTTCCACCTATAGTCTTCTCCACCTTTGCCCTCAGAAAAAAAAAAGCTACGCAATGAACTCGCATTCAGGATCGACAGGATCAGCTGCGTCAGTCGCAAGGTTTTTGCTCATCTTGCCTGACGGACTTACATGTGGCGAACGAAAAAAGGTCACGTTGCTTATCAAGTTACTTAATATAAATGAAAAACAGGCTTATGATTGGTGACGGGCAGCGTATTTAATATTAACTAGAGAGTATTAGAGGACCCTTAGAGTGTATTTTATTTCAAATCAAACATGATGGAGGCTAAATTTAGAACTGACAAGCTTCAAAATGGAAACTGCGACACCGCAGATAACTTCATTTCACCGAACACCGCAGACTTTAAGACGCAAACATCTCACACAGTGAGGTTTAAGAACACCGCAACACCGCAAGCTGAGATTTTATTCACCGCAACACCGCATGAAAAAATGCGCAACACCGCAAATCCCCAATGTCCCCCTCTAATCTGTAGGTTGTATGCAAAATGCATGATTTCCAAGAGCCATGTCAAAGAAATGTTCTGCATGGCTGTTTCTTTGATGTTATTGAACTTCAAAACAGTGTATAGTAAAACGCAATGTGACAATCCACAGACAGGGAATTCATCATTGGCTGGTTTTCAACAAGTGTTTGAAGGAAACACTGCTTGAAAGCACAAAGAATGGCTGTCAAAGAGTCTACAAAGTACTGAGAGAACCTACGAAAGTTTCCTCTCAGTTCTATGAGTCCTTGCTCAAGGCCACTTCTTGCTTGTCTTCTGCCTACTGGACTCTTGTCTATCTGACAAGTAAGCTTTCAAACTGACTTGCCCAGCAAGAAAATCTATTATTTTGTGGACTACTGTACAGCACTTTTTTCGAGCCCTGTTATAGTTGTTAAGGTTCTCAAGGTGACAACTTCAAAGCAAAGCATTTGTCATTGCCTTATTTCAAACTGGTAGGGACTAGGTATGAGTCTGTGTATTATGGGATACCTAAAGGTCTGATTTTCGGGGGGGGTCTGAGTTCTAAGTTTTCAAGGTCTGAGTTTTTCTGACATTCCAATCTTATGTGGTCATCTTACATTGTGTTTTTTACCATAACTGAGCAGTTTCTTGCACACTGATTGGTCAAGAGCTATGGTCGATAAGAGTACAGACCGTGAAAATGAAGTGAAGGTTATGGGCAATTTGTTTTTTTCTTTCTCCCACTTATGATTTTCCAAGAAACTTGAACGGCAATGGACGTCAAAATCGCCAATGTTATTGTAAATAACAAATCAACACCAATTTTCCATGGTTTGTTCTTTTATTGACCATAAAAATGACGTCAAAATGTTCAAAATTTGCAGTGAAAACACTTGGCTGCGGCTCGTGGTTCCACTTGAGTTTGCACATTTTGACATGATTTCCATGTTCGAAAAGAGTACAGACCATGGGAAAATGTTAAATGTCCTACTATTATTTTCAGTGTCCAAGCTGTGACTAAAAGCTTCTCCTCACAAACGTCAAGAAATTTTCAAAAAAGGTTCCCACCTATCCTGGCTTGTAACTCCATAGCAGTGACGGTCATAGACAACCTAATTTCACCAGGCGAACTGGAGGAGGGTTCTGAAAGTGAAGATGAAGCTACGAGTGGGAGAAAACGTATAAGGTTACGACACCTGTGGGATGATGATCCGTAGCAGTTTTTTTGTTACTGCACCAAGCAAGAAAATTCTTTAGTCATCTGGAATGCTGACTGAAACATAACTTTCTAAATTTTAATTTTAATGTGATCAGGAAGTAAAATAAATATTAACACTGATCTTTTGAACAAATTAGTGAGGAAAAAAACAGAGAGAACTACAATATTGTAGGATATTTGGGTTGAGAACAAAACGTGGACCACCATATAATGAACTTGGTCCAGGTTCTCCATACTTTTGTCACCTCCAAAACATAGGTTACTGTCAATGATACAATAGTACTAGGCACTAACCCAGTCATTCCCAGTCGACAAATTAAAATTAACCAGTCTAAAAAACTTGAAAAATGCAAGTGCGTATTCTACGGTCTCAACAGAGTTTTAAGCTGGTTATGTAGGCTTTCAAAAAAGTCCTTTGTCCGCTTTGTGGTCTCCCTTGGCAGCTTTACAGGCCTAAAAAGCTCGCTACGCTCGCTAAAACTCGTGAGGTTGACTTGCAGCAAGTCTACTGGTTTTGCAAAACACTCGAGAACACCAGATTTTCTTAACAAGGATTGGTTATTTTTTAACCACCATGCAGCCGGGTACTTTAATGCAGGAAAACAAAGTCATTCAATCAACCATCTCCTCCTACATGTGAGAATTTTTTAGATTTATACTTTAGTTACCTAGTGAATTCAGAAACTTGGGCGGAAAAAACCGGATGCTCTCGCAGGCTAGGCTTTACCATGCATATATTCAATTACTACAGTTTCAAAAATTAGTTTATTTGTCTCATGTCCAAATTCAGCTTTTCTCACTTGAATCTTGCCGCGTTTAAAAATTAATTCAGTTGAACTCCTTTAACGACAATTACAGGTTGCATTTTTAGGAATTTTCACTGGATCATTAAAAAAATAACCCGGTTATTAACTTGCTAACCAGTAACTATACTAGGAGTAATCGGAGCTGAGGAGGAGTGCGTTCGATATGTTTGATGGGCGTACAGGTAGCAGTTGAGAGAGAGGGGTGGATGATTCTTCCAATAGATAAATATGATTATGGCTTATTTTGAACGTAGGGGTTGCCTATGGCGAAACCTCTATTTAAACTGGTGCAATAGATGTTCTACGGGGCGCAGTTGTTCGAAGGCCTTTTAGCGCTTAGCCCAGGTCACTTTTTCTTTTGTTCAACAGCATTTCGTCGGATAATTTTCTCTGCTATTTTTATGGGCATCCAATTAACAACTTGTTGACAAAATGAATTACACTGAATTTACTTTCACATCTGAATTCAAATTTCGCAATAAGCCTGGGTTTTCTTAACCCAGCTTTGAACAACCCGGCGCAGCTATTGTTAAAAGTAAACAGTTGACAACGTTTTAGATGTAATCATTAATTTTATTTCTTGGGAATTCCAATGTACACAATTACTGAAATTTACTATAACATGAAAAATAATGAAAAGTAAAATGTAAAAGTAAAATGAAAAGTAGACGCGCGAGAGGAGACGCATGACTTCCTGACTTATCTAGAGAGATCAAAGGGCCTCTGTTCGCAGGGTATCATTATATAAGTCAATTCATTTCAATACAAGCTAGAGTAATGCTTTTCCCGTGCTGCACTTAGTCCAGGTCACAACTGGCAATTATCTATCATGTACACAGTTGATCGTAAGTTTTTATGGTTGGAAGTCCTTCCTTGAAACAGGCTTCTAGTTTCGGAGTCTTTTCCACAAATGAAAAGGCAGCTGGCAAAAATGTCATCTTATAAAAATGGCTTGAAAACCCTGAAAAGAACAGAAAGAATTGCTTCATTGGGCCATTTCTAAGTCCCAAAAAACCTCACGGCTTTCAAAGCGTGACCAAGTGCGAACCCTTTGTTGTGAAAAAATAAGAAATTTTCTCTGATGCGTGATAGCTCAAAAAAATGGGCGTGATGCGTGATAGGTACTCTCCACCGGCTTTGTCACCCTGTATTCAGTGTCCTCCCAGAGGACTATTTTTTTGCTTTGTTACCCTTTAAGTCATGAGGCGATCATAACATTTCTCTTTTTAATAGTAAACAACGGTCTGCTTACCTTGTACTTTTTCTGCTGAATATTCTGACCCACTATCCAGCGTGTTAAAGGGAACCTCCACTTCAACAAAAAGATAACTTTAAATCACAGGAAATAACTGTTACAGTCAAGTCAATCTAAAATATTTTTAAAGAAAGCGTTTGTATCCGAAAGAAATAACTTTTAGATTCGCCTATTTTTGTTTTCAAATTTTGCGGGCGTCGCCATCTTGAATAATTGTGACGTGTAATGGTTGTGTCAGAACAATAGAGCAACCGTAACACGTCACAATTATTCAAGATGGCGGCGCCCGCGAGATTTGAAAGTGAAAATAAGCGATTTTAAAATTCACTTTTCCTGATATAAACACTTTTTTTAAGACAAATTTCGAACAAATTTGTTTATCAACATAATTTTATTCGATTTAAACTTATTCTGTAGTAAGAGTGGAGGTTCCCTTTAAATGTATAATTCACAAACCTCTTCGGTTGAAGTCATTTTCAATCAAAGCCACTGGTGAATGAGAATTTTATCTAAGGCGTCTCAAGTACGTGCTTGACGACAACTTTGCAATGAAAAAGGCGTGAAACAATTTCCTCTTTTGTAGAACAAAAAGGTCGTGTTTTAGCCTGTGAACAGGACTTTGGTCGAGCGGGGAACAGGGTAGTCGCGTTTTCTTTGCTTTTACACGACCCGCTCTCTTAACCAATCAGCAGTAAGTCTCAAACCAATCTTGAGTTACTCACGTTCTTTCTAAGCATTTGGCGCACGTGCCAAACATTCAGCGCAAAACCTTGCTATCAGGCTCAAGAACATTGCATCGTGATCATGTTTATGGTTGAATGTACGTTGGGTCCGTTGTCACTCGTCTCGATGTGTCACGTCAAAGTTATGGGACAAACTTCTTGCCCTTTATTTTCGTTTCTCGACCTCTGATTTCCTCAGATCAAATGATAATAGGATGCTTGTTAAAATAGTTAATATTTCATTTTATTTTTCCGTGATGCGTGATAGGTACCCCCCCCCGCCCGCTTTGTCACCCTGTCTTCAATGTCCTCTCAGAGGACGTTTTTTGTGCGTTGTTACCTTTCGAGTCATGAGGCGATCATAACATTTCTCTTTTTAATAGTAAACAACGGTCTGCTTACCTTGTACTTTTTCTGCTGAGTACTCTGACCCACTCTCCAGCGTGTTGCTCAACTGAGGGGTAATCTGCAGTAAAATTAAGCTTATACATTTGTTTTCTTAACAGAAAAAACGAATGACATACTATTACATCATCTTATTGTAAATAATAATGCACGTCTTCTCGTTCTGCATTAAAAATACCCAATGATTTTGTTTTGGGGAATGTTTTAGATTTCAAGTTCAAGTTTTGACAGAGTTAAATGAGTAAATCACAAACCTCTTCGGTTGAAGTCATTTTCAGTCAAAGCCACTGGTGAATGAGAATTTTTTCTAAGGCGTCCCAAGTACGTGCTTGACGACAACTTAGCAATGAAAAAGGCGTGAAACAATTCCCTCTTTTGTAGAACAAAAAGGTCGTTTTTTCTTTCCCTTTTAGCACTTTGTAAAGTGCTTATAAACACGACTCCCTCTCTTAACCGATCAGGAGTAAGGCTGAAACCAATCTTGAGTTACTCACGTTCTTTCTAAGCATTTGTCGCACGTGCCAAACACGCAGCGCAAAACTTTGCTATCAGGCTCAAGAACATTGCATCGTGATCATGTTTGTGGTAAAAATGTATAAGTATTATTTAGGAATTATGCCTAACGCTTACAATATCGTATTAAGGTCACAATTTTGTTTACTACATAATCCGACAGACCTCACTTAGTCAACTTCATGTGTGTATCTGAACAAAACGATTCAGTTTCGTTTCGATTATTTAGTAAACGAAAAGGAACTTTAATTAAAACTGGTCAGTAGAAACATAGATAATAGAAAAACTGGGTCTAATTTCAATTTATTATCCACGGTGAAAACAAGCATTGAACTTTCAGCGTTGTTCTTGATCGTGCAACCATTTAAAATCATTTGATTCGATATTATGATCTCGAGTCGATACTTGAAACTCCTTCACTAAACTCCTTCCTAGTTCACTAGACCCACACATGACTTTTACCAAAAGATTTATTTAAGTTTTTAAGATTTTATTTAAGATTTTTAACCGTTGAGTAAATAAATCGAGCCAAACTAAAATAAATGCAAGTTTATTTCATTTACAGGTTTTTCAAATATTATGGAGTACATTTACTTCTGTCACTACTCGTAAAAGGTTAACCGTAAGTTTTGTAGCCATAATATATTTCATCCTGGAAAGGTCCTAACAGGCCTTAAACGAATCGATGTCATAACAATCTTTGGAAAACGATCTAACTGATCTAAGAAAGAATAATTGGTATTAAACTAGCCCATATCATTATGGTTTGTTTTCCTTCCTTGAAACAGGCTCCTGGTTTTTGAATCTTTTCCACAAATGAAAAGGCAGCTGGCAAAAATGGCGTCTTATAAAAATCACGTGAAAACCCTGAAATGAACAGAAAGAATTGCTTCAATAGACCATTTCTGGGTCCCAAAAAACCTCACTTTCAAAGGGTGGCCAGGCACACTCCCTTATTTGGCCTAAGAATAAGGTCGACTCAGCTGTAATTTTTTATTCATGTGTACATAGATTACAGATTGTATGTATATATATTTTTATTTTTATTATTATCATTATTTTAACACTAGATTTCTATTACAACTGTAGTTTTAATGCACGTGCGTATTTTGAACGAGCACTTGTGCTCTTAGGCGTTTACGTGGGTAAATATATTCTTGATTGATTGTTTTCCTTCCTTGAAACAGGCTCCTGGGTTTTGAGTCTTTTCCACAAATGAAAAGGCAGCTGGCAAAAATGGCGTCTTATAAAAATCACATGAAAACCCTGAAATGAACAGAAAGAATTGCTTCAATAGGCCATTTCTGAGTCCCAAAAAATCTCCCTTATTTGGCCTAAGATTTCACATCGAAGGCTTCACACTTAGCTTCCTCTTAAAACAGAGGCTTGGGGGAATTCAGAAAAAGCCTATTTACTATAATTTTTAGTATATTATCATTATTACTGTTGTTAGAAGTATTATTTTTTTATTAATTTATTGATTAATATCTTTTTAGTTCTTTTTGCCTTTAGGAGTGGTTGCTATGGAAACATACCATTTCAAGCTCTACCATAAACATCCTTCTCAAAAATATTTCAAGGTTTGGCACTGGCCGGCCTAAACT